AACTGTTTTATTTTCGATTTTTTGTAGTGCTTGATGTATATTTTTGTCCAAGTTTGGCTGTACAGATGAGAATTATGTTAAAGTTATTTTTTGCAAAACCTCACAATTTCACATAAGCTATGATAATTTGGTTTTTCTGGAGAGATATGATTCACACAATACAGAAAATCTCATGAATTGTCTCACTACCTCAATGTTCGATCACTGACAACGTAGCACTCATAATGCATAAAAAATCTTATCTTCTTTCTTCTCCTCTCTAGTTTGGAATGTAAGTCTGGCAATAACATAAACATCCAATCATAGCTGTGCACCCACCTCATTTACTGATTTGCAATGCAAGAAACAATCGTATTATACTCACCCACAAGCCACAACACTGATTTTCTTTTTCTCTAGATTTCATCACAGAGGTGTACACAAAAAGTATTCTCAAATTGTTTAGTTTCCTTTTCTCCTAGATTATAAAAATATTGCAACAGTCTAAATATAAACAAAAAGACAGGCTTAAAAAGTAGCCTACTTTTTCTACCTGCAGGTAATTCTCTGCGATTCATAATTTTCACGGCTGCTCATCTTTTGTTTCCTCCTAGATAAGACACACTTGCAAATAACTTTCGAGTCAAAAACTGAATCTACCAAAACGAATAACTTTCTCTGCAAATCAATTTGCAATACATTTGTTTGATCTCTGTTAAGCCCTCTTATTACACCATTGACAATGAATTTTATTTTCATTTCTACCCTCTCCAATGTGCATTGAATCGTGAAGTTATTAATAATATTGAATAATCCATGGCTTAGTAGCACTCTTGAGATGACATGTGTATTATGAGTAATTTGACTTGGGTTAGAAAAATTATTGGGAACACTGACGGTTTTATTGAATGGGAACACTAAAATAAGATTAAAATTTTCGTATCTCAATGCAATGGATTACATATGTTTTTTTGACACTCACTAGTGTCTTTTGCTCCTAACAAGGCACTTTACATGCAGCCACTGATGTTTTATTTTATATATTCATCTTACAAGCTGCCACTGGTACTTAACATGTTTAGAGAGTTCGTATTCACACCTTTCCCTCTAAACAAGTCCCTATACAAGAAGCCGTTGACTATATGTTAGGAACTACTAATATTTTAAAGCACCACAATCTTTTGTGTTTATACAATTTTGTACAGTTCTTGAATGCAGTAACTCACAAAATTGCTAAACACATTAATCTTTTACGAATTAACCAACCAGTCAGTCAATATTTTAGTATTTCAACACTCACTCAGGTTGCAAGATTTCACAAAAATTATTTCAAAAAAATTTGGATTGCTTGGAAAAAAGGTTGGGAACCACTGCTCTAATGACTGGTTACACATCTCACAAACTTGCCAAACACTCCTAATCCACCCTCTCAGCCAACAACTTCTAGGCAATATTTCATTGGTCTCCAGCAATCAAACTGACTAAAAATACTTTACATTTGTAAAGTCGCAAAATCCTCGGAAAGATTAAACTCAAAATTGCTTTTGCCGCCTCCAACACAGTCAATCTAGAATTGTAAAACCAGTCAACCCTAAACCTATTTGAATTACTGTAATCAGATCAATCTATTGTTGGGGTAATTTGTGGTTGCTATTCTGAAGGTTTAAAAATTTGTGAATGGGTTTCTATTTTTATACCAAAAACATGCATGAATGGCATAGTTTGCTGCTTATCACTTGTGCATGTTTTATATAGAACTAGCTTGATATCTTATACTTATCTGAATAGGGTATACTGGGACCTAATCAATCCTTATGATGGGAGTAATTTGTGGTTGCTATTCCGAAAGTTTAAAAATTTGTGAATGGGTCTCATTTTTATACCAGAACATGCATGGCTGGTATTGTTTGTTGCTTATCTGTTGTGCATGTTTTATGTGGAATTAGCTTGATATCCTACACCTATCTGAATAAGACTTCCTGCAATATAATCAATCCTTATGAAGGGGGGTAATCTGGGGTTGGTAGTTTGAGGGTTTAAGAAATTTGTGAATGGGTTACATTTTTACACTGAAACATGCATGACTGGTAAAGAACATACAATATAGTTTAGCCACGTTCTGTACTGTATAGCTCTAGAACAGAGTGGGCAAGGTTTTTCCACCAGGGACTAAAATTTTTGCTCACCTAAACTGGCGGGCCATGTAAATGCGTCGTATAAAGTTACATTTTATACACAATATTTACAGTGTTACAAAAGCAAAAGTGGAAAACAATAAGCCTTGTGCTAAAACTAAATTTAATCGCAATCCTAGCAAATTCCTTGAGCTATTTTTAACCAAAACATCAAAATTTGGTTTTAGTTTGGTTGCGGCAACATCAGGCAGGCCAGTCCCAATCACCGAATGGGCCGTATTTGGCCCACGGGTCGTAGTTTGCCATGTCGGCTTCTCTTTTATGCTTTAGTCCTGTTTCAGTCAAGTTATCTAGTTAAGAATACTTTTATAGTTGTTACAATATATTTTTACCCCCTTTATCGGTAAAAATAAGTCTTGCTACCACTTGCTATTTGAGGTAGATTTTCAGTTAAATTTATTACATCCCGTTCCAGTTTTTCAATTGTAACAAGGCATGAAATTTATCGCAAAGTTCATGTGTTAGCTCAATGTTTCCCAAATGAAGAGAAATTCCACTCCATCAAGGAACTTAATTTTTCTTAGGTTGGAATTTCGCTTTGTATTTGCTGTGGTACCACCAATATTCTTGGGTTTTTTATTATTAATATAATATGTATGTACCCACACATTATAAACTACAGGTACAAAACTGTACAGAAGCGGGAATGCTGCTTGCGCATAAAACTAGCTAATGATCTAATGAAGATTGAGTATATAAAGTAGTTCCAATGCATAGTGAGTTACCAATAAAGAGTCTAAAAGTGAATAGAGGAATTTAATTAAATTGGTTGATATATTTTACTCTGAGAATTCAAACCCCTCTCTTTCCTTTTCTTTTAGACATCAACCCCTTTCCCTTCTAATCTGTCTAATCTCAAATCTTTAAACACCAATACAGAAGCAATAAACTGTTGACAACGTTCTTGTCATGTTAAGTTTCACCACTTATAGTAAATGATTAACTTTGCTGTGAATAATAGTAAAGTCATGATGCGGGCGCTCCTCTTTTTGTGTCTGTTTATCATCAAGTAGAAGATTTCTCCATAATGCTTAACACTTTGGTGACAGACACATTTTTACAAACGATTTTACTGCATTTGTTAATTTGGGTTTATTTATTTCAAATATTTTTCTTTCACTTTCTATTTCACTCATTTGTTTTTTTTTGATTATGTGTATCTTAGGTTATTGCAAGTCTAGGTCAGAATTTTTTCTGTTTAACCCATTTTATCTTATCCTAAACTCTCTATGGTGCTATCCACCATTACATATATAAAAAAAACTGCATTCCCTTTTGAAGCTTCAAATCATGCATTCAAAATTCTCTGATATATCAGTGCCACCATATGGACACACCCTGGCCCCACCTTCATTTCCTGACTCTCACATGGAAATATTTATATTACTTAACATTCAGTTTGCAACTCTATTTCCAGATTGTCTTAGTTTTAAATGCCACTAAAACCTACCGATATGGCCTAGCAATGCCAAAGGGTTGTTTAATCCACTCAAGTTACTTCGTGGTCGTGTGGCTCAAACACTTTTGAATTCTCAACGACGCATGTCAAGTACTTCATTGGTCGATGAGTTTACATTGGGCAGTCTTAACTTAACAAAGCTTTAAGCTTACCTAAGAGTTGTTTCAGTAGAAAATTGGAATGTATTACCCTATAATTGTTCTGAACTTTGCACTTTTTTTAAATGGCTCATATTCAAGTTATTTTGGATCCAGAGAACACCCTGTTTGTATTCGTTCAAGCTCATAAACAAAAAGAGTAGGGAAATTGACTTAGCAAATAATTAAATTTAGATTTTGAGTATCACAGTTTTACTCTGGCTTTGAACAGGAGGCCACTGCTATGTAAGCAGTTGTCCTTTTATATTCTGTACATTTTAAACCTTAAATAAGGTTTTGTTTACGCCCCTGATTTCATAATCAGTTTTTATTTACTTGTTTTTATAAATCATTTCATTACCAGTTATGCTGATTATGTAGTCGAAATAAACTTATACTTTATGAAAGATGAACAATATATATATATTTATATAAATAGTTGGTCATAGACCTGGTAACTCATCTCTTCCTATAGACTTCAATAGGAAATATTTGGATGTGTTATCTTAAAATTGTAATAAAATTTGCGTTTTTTTCATCATATTGGTGTGAGTTTAGCTTTAAAGAGATCACCGTTAAGTATTTGTAAGAATCAAAAGAGTTGTATTTAATGACATGTTATACAAGTTGTACTAACCTTTTGGTATATAGTTTGCCATAAACATGTGTAAACATATTTTTATTTAGGTGATGGTTATAATAGAAAATGCAGTATTAATCACCTTAAAATAGCTAAATTTTGCTTTTAAAATATTCCAAAATATAATGTATGGTCAGATAAATACGTTTATTTTGGCCATTTCCTAATTTGGAATTATTTCCTACTATAAAGAACTGAAATATTACTCCGAAATTGTACTATTTTTGTTTGTTTTTTCACAAGTGGATAATTTTCCTCTGGTAGATTGTGATTGGCGAGCATAGAATAGTTCATATTTTGTGGAAACAACAGTAGATAGATACTCATGACTTCGAGAATATATTGGGGAGGGGTATTAAAATGCAATTTTCATGCATCTTAAGCAATAACTAGTTACCAATTCTCAATCCAGAGTGAGTGAGAAGGTGCAGCTCAACATTAGAGAAATTTTATTATTTCCCAGTTTCATTTGTTTTGTTTTTTTCTTAAGAAGGGTTATCTGGTTATTCCATGCAAGGCTCAGTACCCACAGGCATTTAAATAATAAGTTTTACATTTCTGAACCCTAATTAAACTTTTTTAAATTCCAGGATTCTTCAAAATCCATTCATCGTCAGGTCATGTGACTGTTAAGAAATCTCTTACAGCTCTCCCACGCAATCTTGAGGATCCCAAACTTGAAGTACTTGCCACGGATGGAGGAGGATTGACGAGCAATATGACTATTCTTATAGATATCGTCGATGTCAATGATCATGCTCCTGTGTTTAAAGAACCTGATGGAAAAGAGATTTTTATTCATGAGGTGGGTGGTGTCATTTATTTAGTAGGTGAGTTTTCATACTTTCCGTGGGGTGGAGGGTAGGAAAGCCAATGAGTCACCCCAGTCAAATGGCTTACTAATGCCTCTCGTATGGTCTTCAGGTTATGTCAGACATAAAGTAATCAGCCTGTTATTTGCTTCAGATAGGATTTTACATAATTATCCAGGGGGAGAGGAAAGGCGATGAGACGGCTTAATCATATTGCGAACAACGGCTTCTCGTCCGGTTACCAGTCCAGGTTGGTATGGGATTAGTTAGCCAGATGCATGGACTTTATGGTGGTAAAAAGTGTAACTGACCATTGTTTGATGGTGAGAAGTCCAGCAAATAATTATCCCCGCCACAAGATTTGAGCACACGAGCCCACCCATAATAGTTAGAGGTGCAATGACGGAGTCTAATTGCTTAGTATGATGTGCCAACTGCTGGGTTTGACCCAAAATTAGTCCTGTTGATTTGATGTTGTTAGTGATGGATTTGTGACTGGGTAGGGTTTATTATGGCTAGTACAGCTGGAGGGGAAGTCAATAAAACGGTTTAATCATATTCAGAACCATATCTGGTTACTGATTCAGTATCAGAATAGCGTATTTACAAACTTATCAATCTAATGTCATGAAATGGTAGCAAAAATGGTTATGGTGATATTGCACTTCTCTGGCAGATATTTTTCCCACACACGATTAGAACCTGCAAACCAGGGTGCTCCAGAAGTGTGTGTACTAAAATGAACGTAACTAATTTTGTTCGCTTACTTTACATCAAGTTGTGTAAAGGGTCTGAAACCTATAGGGGGGATACTCATTTGGCAAACTCAGACAGTCTCCGAACTTGCAATAGAACTAAAATAAGGAACATCGGAATAAAATTATGGCCAACCCTAACCTGGTACACATACTATGGAAGTACCCAAACCAGTGCAAACCAAACACTCTTAACAAACTTTTATGAGCAGTAGAAAAAAAGCCACTGTTTCAAAGCCTTCATCTGAAACCAAATAACCAGCTAACTAATCCCATATGCAACATGGACTGGTAAGCAGACTAGAGGTGGTTGTTCGCCATATGGTTAAGTTGGTTTATTGACTTTTCTCTCCCCCAGGATAAATATGTGAATCCTATTCTTTTCAGAAAAACAGAAAAATTTTTCGATTTGCAAATATCTACACACTATAGGATTTGAACCACATATTTTCAACTTGCAATGCCAATGTAGTTAAAACTGATGCGTTAACCGTTGGGATATAGCACCCACTCATGTTATCTTCCAATTTCAGGAAGAACCGGCCGGCAGTTCTGTTGGTTACATGTTAGCAGAAGACACTGATTCTGGGTTGAATGGAATTGTTCGATATAGCTTCTGTGATGTCACAGATGATCAATCATTTTTCATTGACGAGGTCACAGGAAGAATAATTACTGCTAAAAGGTTTGTGTAATTCATCACAGAGCAAAACAACTACCGTACTCATAAATCCCAAAGTTTCAACTTGTATGCGAGAGGATTTCTTGACTTCTTTTCAAGTTCAGTTATGGCCTTCTCCACTACCAACCAAGCCCATCTGTTTGAAGCAAATGACTGTTCAACTAATTCCATACTTGACATGGACTGGTAAACAGAACCCAAATATTTTATCACCTTCACTCTCCTTTGTGATCCTATCCAATTAGGAACAAATCGAAAGCTTTATTTATATACTACTTGTCAGAATGACTCATTGTACTAAGAGGAATACCATCGCACCTCAGAATACCCTGCGTTGGTCCGCAAGTTTGAATTCAGAAGGGAATAATTATGTGCTAAAAGATTATTAGACACCTCACTCCCATAGGGCCATAGTCATGTAACCACTTGTAGTGTATGCGTCCAAAACAAAATTGTCCAACTGGCAAACTAATCCCATGCCTGACATGGTACGGTCACCTCACAACGGGCTATGATGGGCTTTTTTCTACCACAACATAAATATGAAAATCCTATTTCATATGATAGTTTGAGAAACTCTACTATCGATGCTACCTGCTTAAGATTGCCCAAATAACATACTATATTCAGTCTATTTTATTTTTAAACACACTTTAGGCTTAAGGCTTTTATTTATTGTGATTTAATCAATTCTAATATCATTTCCATATAAATACAAACCTTCTTGCAGGTTATTTTTAACATCCTGATGTAAAACTGGTAAATTTTTGCACAAATTTTTACCCAAAACTTCAACTAAACTCCCAGAAATTTGATTTTCACTCAAATCTAGAATTTTTAAACATTCAAGATTTGACAAAGATTTTGGTAAAGATTTTAAATTGTTTTCTTTCAAACACAATGTGGTGAGTTGGGTCAAGTTACCAAAGTCTTCTGGAATGCTTTTGAGTCTATTTCCAGAAAGGTCAAGGGTCATTAGTCTTTGAAGGTCACACAATCCATCTGGCAAAGTTTCAAGGTCATTCTCAGCACACCAGAAAGTCATCAGTCTTTTCAAATGCCCAATATTTCTAGGTATTGTTTGCAAACAATTATTGTTTGCATTCAAAGTATCGAGATATATGCATAATCCAGAACATAATTCATCTGGTAGTGATGTCACAATGTTGTTCTGCAAGTACAATGACCTCAGTTGTACTAGGTTTCCAATTTCACTCGGCAATTCCAAAATCTGATTATGGCTTATATCCAGCCATTCCAATGCTGATAATCTTCCCACGGAACACTCGAGTGTGCCAGAGAGCTTATTTTTTGATAAATCAAATTCAATCAATGATGTCAGATTGTGCAATTGTTTCGGCAACTTCACGATTTGGTTTGACATTACATTGAATATTTTCAAATGTTTACAGTCGCAGATTTCTTCCGGTAGCTCGAGAATGAAATTAAAATTCAAGTGAAGTAAACTAAGTTTTTGTAGTTTTCCAATTTCTTGCGGAATTTCTGTGATTAAGTTGTGGCTTAAATCAAGGTCTTCCAAATTCTTCAATTCCGTAATACTTGTTGGTATGGCTGGAATCTTGTTTCTGCTGAGGTTTAAAACGGAGAGATACTTGAGTCTGCAACATAGAGTTTTGGGAAAGACCTGTGGTAAAGATGATATGAAAATAATAACTCGTATTGCTAAGTTTTGGATACAGTGGTTTCCAAACTTCCATAACATGTGCCTTATTACAGAGAATATCAACATTTGGTTGCCTTCGGCTTTTTAATAAAATAAAATCGTTTCGCTTTTATATGTTTCTGAGTTGTTTTATGGGTACTCCCATAGTATGTGTAACAGGTTGGAGTTAGGGTATAATTTTATTCCGATTTTTCTTATTTTAGTTCTATTACGAGTCCGGGGACTGTCTGTGTTAGCCAAGTGAATACACCCCCTGCCCGTAGATTTTAGTTCATATACACAACTTGATGTGAAGTAGGCAAACAAAATTAGTTTCCTCCATATTGGTACACACCTAAAATTGCACATTATTGATGACCTACTAAGTTCCTGGAAAAAACTTAGTTCATAAAATTTTTGTTGGTTAGCTAGACTGACAGTAAACAGCTGAAATCTCACAGTCAACCACTTTTGACAACTATAATTTCTTTGGAGACTCCAGTTCCGAAAGTTCAGAAAAAGAATGCAGAATAAACTGTTCCATATACACACCTTTATGTCGCATCTCCACATGTATAACTCATTCAAATCTTTCAAAGTGAAAACAGCTTTTGGTATTCTTCCTCTGGCCTCATTACTCAGATCTAATGATGTTCTTCCGCCTTCTCTCAGAACTATTTTCTCTCGTATCCAAGCATCTTGACCCCTACTCTCCCAGATTTGTCTTAAAGCTTTGACATTTAAATCCATCTAGAAATGAATTTAAATTAATTTATATCAGAGCTGCAGTCGATATTGTATGTTTCAGCTTTCCTCTTTCATATTAAATGGAAAATATTTTCCTACTTTATTGATTACTTTTACATTACGTAAACTTCCTATACAACAGTGGTTTCCAAAATTTTTGTTCTCAACTCACTTACAAAAAAATGCTGCCGCTAAATTAAACCCCATTTTGTGATTATTAATGTGCACTTTATGCCAATTAAAGTTTGTATAAATGTAGGCCTGAGAAAATAGGCAAAAAGTCAACTATTCTTCTTTATCTCTGCCTGATTTTTTCTCACTCATTGTTTGGAGGGTAAAGCGAAATTATGTGGGTACCCCCCATCGAAGGGTGGTTCACATAACTGCATCGAAGGGTGGTTCACATAACTGCAGGTCGGTTTTGGTTCTATCTACCATATAGACACTTACACACTTGAAAAGAAGTATTTTCATACTCAACATGGACTAGTAACCAGTTGGAAGACCATAGGACGCCATATAATCAGGCCATCTTATCTCCCTTCCTCTACCCTGCAAATACATATTTTTATTATAAGCTCAATGTCTCCCATACCCCATTATGATAACTCCAACTAACATTAAATTATATGGCATGAATAACAAACAGCGGATTGAATCAGTCAAACATATTAACAAAGGTGATTTGCACCTCTAGGCATAGTGTTAATTGCATTATGGCCTGGGAGAAATAGTCTGCTCAATGCAGGGCAATAAAATCTCACTATGAGTGATTTATTTTCCGAAGTACGAATCACAATTGGAAAGAAAATTTAACTTGGTTAACAATTAACTAGCTAAATGTGCAATAAATGTACTTTAAACAATTTTTGGCGATCATGACTAATTTTAAAACATTTAATGCCAAAAATTGTCGAAAACTGGTACAAAAAGAAACTCCCGAAGAATGAATTCATATTTCATGAATAACACATAATTTGAAAGTTAATTTCCTAATGACTGGTCCAAGTGTATTAGAGGTCTCAGATCCCATCCTGCTTATAATGCAAATATTGTTCAATCATCTGATAGTGTAGTGAACGGATAGTTGCAAACGATCTTGCTTTGTTACAATCTTTTCATCATTTATTTTCAATCTTTTTGTTTAGACTCGACAGAGAGAAGATACCAGAATACACACTCAAGGTTTGTGCGGTCGATCTTGGTTTGCCGCCTCTACGAAGTGACGCTTCAGTGACCATCAAATTGCTGGACCGTAACGACAATAAACCTGAGTTTAGAAAGTCGAGCAACATTGAGAATGGAGGAGGTATGGGGCCCTTTTATCTGTTATTATATTAACACTATTTCAACAAACCACAAAACACAATCCAGGTCATTGGGAACATATTCTATAGAAAACACAACTTTTGTGCAAAGCTTCGTAGATTGCAGAAACTTTTGGGTAAATTACACACGAACAGAAGTTTAATTTTTAAATACCTTTTCTTGATTTTCGTAGAAATAAGTTCATGGGTTCTGTTCTTTTCATAATCGTCCTTTGCTTCAAAAAAAACCATTCCAACTCTTTCTGGTTTATTTCTTCATATTTCATCGGATTTCATTTTTTGCTGACCCAACATCTTTTGTTCAATTCAGGAGCTCATCAAACAATTCATGTGAGGGAAGACGCCAGAATTGGACAGAGTATTGGTCATGTGACACGTGCAACGGACCGTGACAGTGGCGAGAATGCTCATGTTTACTACCACTTGTTGTCAGTATTGAGCAATGATCAACCTGTCGATCTCAGTATGTTCTCGGTGCAAACGCAAAGTAGGCAAATTATTCTGGAGAGATTGTTAGACAGAGAAAAAATAGGAAGGTTAGTATTAATCAAATTTAAAATATACTGTGCCATGCTCTGTCTGAAATAATTGCTGGTTTTTCTATGTTACGTCTAGCAATCCTCCCACACATAATTGTCTTCCGCAGGATTTGAACCTGCGAACACACACAGGGTAATCAGAGATGTGATAGCATTCCTAATACTGAAGATGCCAACTGCCAAGCTTTTCAGCAAACAAACGAAATGTTGATTTATACTTTGTACTTCAGATACACTTTGATAATCAAAGCTACAAATGACGAAAACTATTCTCGTCCCATGCCAATCATTTCTGATTCACCAGTAGAGGACACTAACGGTCCACCTCTGGTTGGCGGGGGAGGGAAAGACAAGAAAGCTGCGGTTGTTGTCAAGAGAAGCTTGGAGAATGTAAGTTTAAGTTGATTTTTTCAAGTTGAGAGTGCTAGCAAAATTTGATGAAGTCAAAAGTCAAAATAACTGGAATACTGTTGGAGGCTTCCTGACACTTTTAGCACTCATGGCCGCTAATTATCCTTTGAATGTAATTAAAGAAGTTATTTTGATTGGTAGTCCAAATCCCATTATGTTCAAACAATTCAGGCTCAACAAAGTGAAAACTGCCTGTGAAATAACCTTAAGCAATGAAACTAGAAAGAACTGGGGGATGAGCCAAAATCTAACTAACTGTTAAATTTAACAGTACCCTGAAGTATGCGCATCAAGATGTCGCATAACCTGAACCCTAACCTGATACACAGCCTGAGTTCAAGTTGTGCGCCGTCTTGGTGCGCATACTTCAGGAGGTCCAATTCAACTAACATAATTGCATTAGCTACAAGGCCATCATTTCTACTAAACTAGTATCACTGTTTCTCTGCCTTAATCTAAAGATGAAGAGATGAGTGTTACAAATTCTTTTTGCAGCTCGACAGCCTTGTTGGTGGTGGAATTTACCCTGCAAAATCTTTTAAATTACCCGAAGAAGGTGGAGGGCTTGGTGACATCACAGATACAATTATGGGATCCAAAGCCACTGCTTCTCAGGTACAAATGAATGTTTTTACACCAAATAGTGGATAACAATATACAGTTATAGGGAGAGGTTACTAGTTATTTTCCCATTTTGACAGTTTTTTGACTGTCCTGTATTTACCTTATATTACAGACCATAAATTAAATTTATTTTTATTTTTTTCAAAATTTGTGTGTCCCCCTTCATAAGCAGACGCGCCTAATGTATGGATTAGATAGTGCTTTAAGCTGATTGCCCTCGCTTCAATCCAGTACCAGTAGCCGTTGCGCTTTAAAGCCCAGTGATTATTTCACAAAATTGTTGTTTTTATTTATCTCCTGCTTATCTTTCATTCAGAAACAGGACAAGTCTTTACCCGGCGGTTTGATTATGACATCAGAAAGTTCTGACAATATGGTAGCTGTGATGTCACCATCAGCTCCTATTACATCCCAATATGATCCATCCGATGACCCCAGTTTGATTGAGGTTGCCATAGTAATTGATGATGTCAATGATGAATGGCCAGTGTTTGAGAAGAAAAGTTATGTGACGGCAACCGATGTCCAAGCAAAGCCTGGAACCGAAGTCTTGAAGGTCTCATTACATTTGTAATATTCTGTTATTGCCCTGTCACTAACTTTAAAATCTGCTTTCTTTGATTCTGTTTATATTAGGTTAGGATAATAGATAAGTTGAAGACTGAAAAGTAGAACAATAATGGTCGTGGGTCGTGGCCATTATGTGCCTCTGATTTCTTTGTGGGGTTTTGAATCTCATGTGAGAAAACTATCTGCGTAAGGATTGCTGGACTCCTCGTCCCCATAGGGTGGTCCCCATAACTGCTGTTACGGATGCCTTCCATAATCAAGTCAATGCATCTAAAACAAATGACTGGCTAACTAATCCCATACCCGACATGGAATGGTAACCGAGCGAGAGGTCGTGGTACGCCATATGATTAAGCTTTATTATCAGCCTACCTCTCCCCCAGGATCAGATTAGCAGTTGGCCCATTACTAATTTCAGTATGATTCTGTTTATATTGGGATAATTGGGTTTTGCCTATTTTTACTTAGTTTTTGTTTGTTCATTTCTTTCACTAACCTAAAAAGCATTCAATATTAGCGACTGATCTTATTCCTCTTCATCACAGGTTCTCGCAACTGATGATGACATAGGGAATAACAGCATTGTGACATACACAATCACCAATACATTGTTGCGATCCCATGACAACATCACTCAGCAATCTGTATTCGGAGTATTCAGCATTAATAAGCATGTAATAAGCACTGCACGGCCGTTAGAAGATTATGGGGAAGGGTGAGAAAATTTTTATCCTGTAGTATTATATGGGTTGATGCAGAAATACTTTGAATTATGATTATGGAGGCTGTGGATCATGAGAATTGTGTCCCACTCCGCTCAAAATCTTAACTCTGGTTTTGACCCAAAGTTAGTAAATATGCCAATAAAAACATAGCAAACACAGCGGCTGTTCTGATTACATTCTTCACCTTATATATAAAGTAGACAAATGCCAAATTTTGTCTTTGGTGAAGCCTAGTAGACATATATTTGTTTGCATTGTAGGTTAATTAACTCAGATTCAAAACCCATGCTCCCCACCTTACCCCCAATATAACCCAAAACACAGCTTTGTTTCAATGCTCCCGGTTTTGACTCAGGATTAGTAAATATGCCAATAAAAACATAGCGAACACAGCGGCTGTTCTGATTACATTCTCCATCTTTTATATAAAGTAGGCAGTGACCATATTTTGTGTTTCATGGAGGCAATAGCTTAGTCTGCATTGCAGGTTAAATATCTCAGATTCAAAACCTAGCCCATCGCCTAACTCAGAATGTATTTAGTAGACAATGTCGAATCGTGGAGATTGCAGTTTTTAATAGCAGGTCTATATTATTAAAGCATAGCTTCGTTTGCAGTGGGAAGCATAAAAAAGAATCTTCTTCTATACTTATTAGTAGGTGCCAAATTTTTTAGATTACTATGGTCTTACATTCCTAAATCGAATTGTTTATCAGGACTCTTGAATTGAATTACTTACAGAAGTTATCTCTATTATTGTTAAAGCAGCCTCACATCATACGGACGCTTATGTGTCAGTGTGAAGGTATACGATAGTCACTCAAACTAGCGAGTTTTGAACAAATTTTATTTCAATCATAAACACACAAAGACAGTAGCAGAACTATAAATATAAAAAAAAAATTGAATTCCTCCATGATCTGGAGCCTTAATTATGCTGCATTATGAGACTATTATTATTCTTGGTTATAACTGTGCGGCGTTGCATATTCACTTTCAAACACTTTTTACTCTTGAACTGAGACTTTAAAGCAGGGGTTCCAAAGCTTTTTTCAGGACGACCCCAGGTCAATATATATATTTTTCATGAAACTTTAGAGTTTCCTTTACTAGACTTTTGAGTTTGGTCATGTGGTGGTATTAAGTTAAATAAGCTAAAAAAAACAGTGATGTCACAATAAGCACCTACATTTTCTATAGCATAAGCATAGAGCGATGCCTATAGGCCTGTTTTACAGTAAGCCATGGTACAAACTGCTAAATTTAACATGGTTTGTCAAATCTTAGATGTTTTCTTCGTACATCCATCCCCTACCATACCTCAGCAACCCCATGACCTGTTTACGACCCTAACTACTTATCACTCCGACCCAATTTAGGGTTGCGACCCCTGTTTGGGAATTCCTGCTTTAAAGGCAAGTTATTGCTGGTGAAAAGGGTGGAATGTTTGTTTTGCTACTGAAACTCCCCACATGGCAACAGCGAAATGAGACTCATATTAGGCTCAGTTCAAATTGAAGATTGTGGAAAAGATGAAAAATAAATAAATCTGTTAGAAAGTTTGCAATATATAGAAAGTGTACAAATGTTACGTGTTTCTCTAACGGCCGGTTACTGCTTCCTTCACCAGTATGCATAAAGCGTTGAGGTAATTTAAATTTATGTGTCACTTTGTTAGCATTACCTTCTTCGACTTATACTTCAGACAAGTCTGTGAAGAGGAAGGGGTGTGTGATGGGGGTTTATTTTACTCATAAATACAGACTGATTTTTGACTCTTGTGTTTAGCTTGTCTCAAGTTTTATATAATTGTTTAATCATAGAGAATTTTTGTAAAACTTTGTTTGCGAGCCTTGTATACAAGCTGCTAGAGTCGCATTGCAGAGAATTTGTTATTGGTCTTAGTGTGACTATCAATATGTTTGAAAGACATCCGAATGACCTATAACACTCTTGTCATCGACTCTTGTGATGTCATAGTTTCTTATTTTTCTTCCTGCTTTCTAGCCAATCCAATCCTTTATCCAAATAAGTGAAGCAAAATTGGTAATGCCTAAAAAAAAGAGAACTAATTGATAGAAACCTCAAATAATACTTGATTTACTGTTAGTCCTTTCATCAGCAATTATATGTCATATAATTTGGAGCAGTAGTTCCGAACAGTGGGCCCGCCCCTATTTTTTGAGGGGACGTGAAACTTAAAAATAAAAATATTTGTTAGATTTGATCTTGTGCTCCTTATTTTGGATATTTACTATGTGCATTATCCACCACATAACCTCAAATTAAATATTTATGTTCCATCCACATATTTTATTAGAGGTATTTGAATAAAACATACTTTTTCGCCTTACTATCTGTTTTTTCCAGCTTATTGTTAGCTAGTTATTTTTAAGGTTGGGTGCGAGATTTGAAAAATTCTTAAAAGTTCGCGAACCACTGATTTAAAGTGTATTGGAATCATGACATTTTAACCAATTGAAGGAGTCTTACAATATACCCATACAGTTTTCATGCAAATTGTGATGCAAACTGTAGATATTGAATTACTGTTTAGTCCAAATTGCAAGTCAATGTACATACAGGGTGTCCATGCCCAACATTGAACACATGTACAAAAAATTCAGCAGTAATAACAATTGAAAAAAATTTAGTTTTTTCTCATTTATTATATAATATATTTTATTTAAACTTACTATTGGCATTACTGTAAAATCAAGCAAACATGTTCAATGTTGAGCATGACCTAATTTAAAAAATATTTCATAATTTGTATTTGGCCATCTTTGCTCGTAGGTCTGGTGACATTGCTGAGCTGAATCTTTTTTTTTAATCTTTTTTTTTTGTTACTATAGAGCAGTTCAAAATTAACATCATAGTGAAATGTGAAATCGCACCCCTATCACCTTACCTTTTCCCTTTAGCATGGTGGACATAGTGCTCTCTTGAGCCACTGAAAATATCCCCTGGAATGAGTTTATCAAACGTCCAAGGAAAGTCGTACCCACAATGGTTATAGATCAGGATTGTGACGAACACAAAAACAAATATAGTGCGAGTGAATGGATGAGCTCCCTGCACCTAAATGTGAAGGAAACGAAATAAATAAATTAATAATAAAAAAAAATTACTTAAAATTCACTTCAACGACGTGGCTAAAGTAAGTCATTGTAATGCTTGGGCACCAGACTTTATATTGAAAATTTATTGATATTCATGCATTCCTAGCTGCATGGATTGCATGTGAAAAGCACCCATCTCAGAGGTTAGGGTTCAGCAATAAACAAAGACTATACCAACTAACAGTTCATCTTTAATCTAGCATTTGTTGACAGAGGTAATCTGAGTCACATCTTAAATTTTGTTGAAGCCTTGTTTTAGTTAGTTTAGGGGGAAAGTGACTCTAATGACCGTATGTATGGTCATTTTTTCATAGTTGCATGGTGAACTTAACTTATTGTCAAATGTACCAACATAGGAACTTAGGTTTGCAGGTTTAAATCCCACTTGGGGGTTATTTACCATATGTACAAGAGGATTGCTGGACCCCTCGCCGCCACAGAGTGTTTCATGTAAACGTTGGTCGTTTACGGCTTCCTCCACCATCAAGTGCATGATTCCGAAAACAAATATCTGGCTAACTAATCCTATACCTGACGAGAGGCCATGGTTTGCCATATGATTGAGTCGGCTAATAGGCTTTCCTCTCCCCCATGATAAATATGTAAATCCCATCCTACCTTCAACCCGGCATTTGCTGACAGAATGAAAACAATTCTTTCAATCCAGTTCTGGTGATCAGTTGCCTTTGCATTGATAACAACATGGGTGTGGTGCTTCTTGTGAAACGTTCTAAATTAAATATGTGTATGTTCGTTTCAAGGTGAGTGCTTCGCATTTTTGCTATGAACAAGGTTGTATAAGCAGTCATAAGGGGTCAGATTTTGAGCCAGTGGTTTCTAAACAGCGACCTACGGGCCAATTACGTACGACCCGAATAACGATTTAATAAGGCCCACCGAACTTATGGGAAATAGTTTAACACTTTATGTTTTTACCTTTTGTGTTCTAGATACCGCCAATTGTTACAGCACATGTATATTTATAACAATTTGATTCTATCAGTATCGGTCGATTGCGAGCGCTCCCGAATGTCATTCCACTCCTAATTTTGCCCCCCAGTCAAAACCACTGGTCATTAAGTCTCAGTCAGAGCAAAAAAAATGTATAAATTATGCGAAACAACTTTTGTGGATACAATAGCCAAGTTTTATGAACAATACTGAACTGAAAATAATTCTGTACTTTCTAACTGATCAGTAAGGAAAAAATGTTGGTGTGATAATGCAGCATAGAAAAAATCTAAGTTATAACAATACCCCAACAACATAATAATGTGAGAGAAAACCTCTAGTCCAATCAATTGTTTATTCAATGCTTAGATTTCTGCTAGCAGAGCCTTGTTCGGAAAAAAACATAGCAAAGGCCACAAATATGGCCGCAACAATAAGTGTTCTATTTTGACGATTCCATAATCTGCAGAATTTGAGAAAATATTTCCTACCTGTATAAAATCTGATATTTATGCAGGTTGTAGTGGATGATAAAAAACATGATATCATAGATCACTATGGCAACAGAAATATGTATTATGATGTCACTGAGCCTAGGAGAGTACTCAGGTAATGCTCGTGTTCTCTGAAAAATATGAATGTGAGATTAAATAATTTGTTGTGAATTCTATGCTAGATATGTAGAATTTAATCCTGTGAGAGAGGATTATGAGACAATTCGTATCCCTTGCTCTTTATCAACCTGTTGTAAGGTGGTTTGTAATAGAAATGTAATGCCTGTCCCAGATACATGAGATATTTACAACTCTGTCATGTTTAGGTTTGAATCCCATAAGAAAGGATATTTAGATGATTTTTGGACTCGAGGCCATGGATTTTTTATTACTATGGAAAAAAAAACTTTACCATTTCAGTTGCCGAGCCTACCGGCAAAAAAACAAAAAACCACACTCACTTGAATCCAATTCAATCTTTTTTGTATTATGACATCATCGGTGACGCCATAATAGTGTTTGACATGGAGAGTGTCTAAGATAGAGAGAGGCAAAATGTATTCAACTGCATGGAATAAAATGTCTTGCATTGACTCTGAGTAAATTAGGCCTCCCTTGGGTGAGACCCTGAAAAACAAAAGCAATTATTTAGTCGAGATGTAGAGTGTGGCTTTATTGTGGGTGCGATGTCCTAGTATTTAAAACATTATACCAGTGGTTCTCAAACTTTCAAAGCTTCCGCCCCTTTTGTAAAGTTGTTGGGTCTCGCACCCCACCTCAAATTTTATTGTTATCAATAAAATAATGAATAGTGCGGCGAAAGTATGTTTTATTCATATTAACGCTGAAATATGTGAATGGAATCGCAATATCTAAACAATAAATAATGTAAATATTCAAAATGAGGCGAGCAAGATTAAATTTAACAAATATTTTATTTTTAATTAGCTAAACACCCTCCAAAAAAATTCTTGAAAAACCACTTATGATGTAATAATTAGCCAAAATAATGTAATAAGTGTAATAATGTAATATAAGTGTAATATAAATTATGTAATAAGGTAATAAGTAGCCAAATAAATTACAAATGATGCAAGATTTTAGTCTATGACAAAATGAAAAAAATATTGTAAAATGAAAAGAACAATCTTTGTTTTAAACCAATCCTTTGGAATACAGAATACCAGGTATATTTTAGATTAGTTTAATCCCAGACTACAATAGTACAAATACCAATGATATTTCCTGAACTTATCAATTCTTACCTGAATTTATCAAAATAGGAAATTTTGTCGATAATCATGAAGAAAAATGTTGGTGGAAAAGAATAAACAACGACAAGTAAGGTTTCAAAATAAACAGTCTGGAACCACCATTGGTCTCGTAGATAACCCCAGCATGTGTCTGAAAAGTATAACTGCTGTAAATTAAGAGTTTTGGATGGTTTTTAAGGAGATGGAGATTATCAGGAGGAGATTATCACATGTACCAGCTCACCAGAGACGTAGCCAGAAAAGTTAAAGGAGGGTGGGAGGGCGGGGTTCTTTGCCAAGTTAGATCCAAACAGCTGGTTTGACCCGCAACACCACCCCCCCTGGCTACGCCACTGCAGTTCACCCAGTTTGTAAAAATTAGGTAGTCAATGTGACCCTTCCAAAAACAGCCATAAACATTAGTCAGCATAAACATTAGTCAGTGGCCATTCGTATATAGCTTTGTTCATGAAGGTAAAAATCAGCGTGAAAAGCATCATATAAAAATATGCTAGGGTAAAAAAAGCTTATAAAATAGTTCCATGATATGTTGCTTTTGTTTTCTTTTCCAGCTATTATTTGAGATTAGATATGGAGATATGCCAACTATTTTTACTTTCTTTATGTGAATACTAAGATGATAGTGCAACGGTTCTGAGTGATTTAATGGTCTCTCCGCACACTAGCAAAAATGTGTTGTAATCTTTAGTGAAAAATCTTAAAATATAAGCATGACCTACCAACCAAAATGTCAAATCTAAATGAATGCTTGTAATGCTAGCAGTGCAATTGCTGTTAAAAGTAGGTTTTTGAAGAAAAGTGTAATCTGCGTGTATGAATATTTCATTTGACCTTGGTTAAATGAAAGACTACTTTTGTTAGTGTGCAAAATTACCCGGGCTATTCTTAGTTTATTTTCAACCTTTCAGGTTTTATTTTTAATCAGAGATACAAACGTGGGAAATAAGGCTATGCACTTCTGCTTAGTTAGACTTTTTACCTCTCCTGAAATGTAGAATTTACAACCTAGTGTCAGACAGCATTGGTACACTCATTATAACATGAAAATTGTTCCTGCTAGTCACACTTTGATAATGTTCAAATTATTCGAGTGATTATTCAACCATGACTAGCCAGAATATTCTCAATTTAACTAAATAAAGCTAGTGCTGCTATTCACACTCCATTGAACTTAGGCCCAAGAAAACACTCACCTATCCAATCTTGGAATGTTTCAGCTTTTAAATAGCAAAAATAACATGAAAGTGCAAAAATAATTCTGGCAACCAACAACTGACTCGCTGTGAATCGTCGCTGTGGTTGTAAGATTCCCACATCTTCATCTTTTTCTCCAACGAAATTAGAAAATTTTTTGTCCGATATTAAAAGTGTGGTTTTTATGTGCGGTGAAGTGTGACTCCGAGTTGGAATTTGGTTTGTTGGTGGCATAGTTATTATATTACATATTTCTGTAAAAAAAGGATAGGAAAATGTTCTGAAAAATATTTTGTGTAACATAAGGTCAGCAAACATCAACTGATATTTCTGGTGTCACCATGGTAACAGTAATTCTGCGTCCTCTGTTTAACCTAGTGATTTCCTTAACCCCCTCCCCCCCACACCCTATTTTTGAGGGGCGGTTCCCAAATTTGAAACCTAACCTAAGTATAATTGTTTTCGAATATCCAGAAAGTGCCATATTTATCAGTTCAGATAATCAGTCAGTTTTTCGAAAATAGAAAAATATCTACCGACCCCTAAATTTCGAAACAACCCATTCCCCTGAAATGAAAAGCTGGTTCAACCTAACTCAAGATAGACAAAATCATCCCTCAGGCCTCAACGATTTCTAAACTTTATAGGTTATATCAAAGTAGACAGTCTCTAGCCATAGTACAATTTCACCCTAAAATCAAGCTAAACTCTTGAAACAAGAAAGCATTTGGTAGCAGAATTGATGCCTTAACAATAGGTTAGTATTATGCTGCTCAGTCATGCCTCACTGAAGGGCTGAGATTCATACAAAGATGCCTATGTTTTAACTAAACCCAGTAGACTTATTCCCACAAAGTTATTGGATTAAGCTATCACTGTGGTTCTATATTCTGCTTGCTTGCTTGCTTGCAAATTCTTCACACCACACTCTCACAAATAAGATACTGTAGCTAACTTGTTTTCAAAGGCTTTATTAAAGGGCAGCTATTGTAGAAGGACCTTCATGTTTCCTTTCTTGTGCAATGGTGCGTGAATACTGACTGCAGAGCTCAATTATTTATTCATTTGATAATTGTTATCCGAAGCAGAGTTTAAAATGAATTTAAACTTCACTTTTTAAACATCTCTGTGTCAGTACATGTATCTCTCATATTCTAAATAAATTGCACTATATAGAAAAATGATTTGCACTATTAGTGGAATTAGCAACAACTGTATTCCATAAGCTCATAAATTAGTTAGATTTAGCTTCCTTGTCAGAATCAAAGCACTGAAACTCTGCCATATCTACCAATATTATCTTAATTACTTAATGCCAGTTATAGAAACTTATTGATCAATAATACCTATTGATTGGATGGCGATTAGGCGTTTGAATTGTTTATATTCGGACCTTGAATGATAGGTAGATAAAAAAGATAATTTATTTTGATCTTCACTGTAACAAAAACACAAGAAAGAACACACAATACAAACACACAGGATGGATATTTAGAAAAGGTGCCAAAACTATAAATTAGGTTTAAACATGGGACCTAAAGCACTCCACGGGCAATCTTATCTTGTGACATTCGGTATAAGTGGAAAATGCAATGAAATATTCGGCAATTTTGACAGTATCAGTCTGTGTTTTCTATGCCATGTATTGAAACCTGATTTTAAATACTTTTTTGCTTGAGATTTCTGCAATCAGTTCCTTTAAAATTACTTTCATTTAAAGTGTTCTCCACAATTCTCTGCTCACAAAATTATCTGCAACCTTTTTCCATAAAACTCTGGAAGTATTTCCATATCCAGACACACAGATTACACTCCCATAATCTTTAATTTATAGTCCAAAAATTACTGGTATTATGCTCATAAACTTTTTTTTTTAAATCTATTTTTAACATCGACCATGCTGCCATCACTACCCGCGTTTATGTAGATTTGACATTTGGTAGGTCATGCTTATATTAATCTCAAAAATGTGGTTAACCCTCTACTATCCACTTCATTCCATTTTTGATTTGGCACTGTAAGATAAACGGACCATAATTTTAAATTTTTTGATTTATTAATTAGAGACTTAATATTTATGAAAACTTGAAACAATCATTATGATTAAACATAGTTATATTTTTACTCTGGTATGACTTTAACTAATAATGGAATGAAGAGAAGAATGGATGGATAGGCTCAAAGTATAAATAAACCATTACTATAATCAAACTATTACAGCTTTGCACCATTGGCTTATCAGCCAAGCACATGGACTAAATGTCTGAATTTGCAGTTCCGCTTGTACTGAGCAGAATTACTATCAACAATGCTACATCGGTAGGGTGAAATTAACCTGTGACGATCTGAACCCAGATCATGTTCCCTATTAGTGGGTGAACAATCTAACGCTTGGTGAATTCTATTCCACAATGATAGGTATATTTCTAGTTGGAGTTTGGTTTTAGCAGATTCAATATTCTTTGCTTGGTGAACAGAGGGTTAATTTCTATTATTTGAACATTTCACTGTGACAAGGCAAATTCTTTTCAAATTGAATCTTAATATAGTGTTCCCCTTGCAAAATAAACAAAAGTGTTCCCAAAGACTAGTAGTGGCATAATGTTTAATAATAATGTCGAATAGATAATTATTTATCATAAGTTTCATGGAAAATATTTATGAATAAAGAATGTTAGTGTGGATAAAATGTTGGAAATCTATTCTTTACGGGAAACAGCCTGAACTTTTTGGTGGCTGCTTCAAAATTGTTTTGATCTTTCAAGGCAATTATGCTAATTACTAATTGAAATAGGCCTTTACTAGGTTTCAATCCTACTAGCATTTAATTCTTTTTCATTCGTTTGTCTGTTTTTAGTATTAAACGAATATAATAAAATTACTGATAAAAACAAGTTTTACTCAAAACCAGATATTGTTATAGATTAACGAAGGGGCCACACATCTTGATAGTCTCTGCAAAGGGCCCTCAGATCATGAAATAAAAACTCCAAACTAGGTTTTCCAATCTCTCAATCTCTTTTTTACATTGTGTATGTTCAATATGGCTGAAAAATGAACTACCGATTAGGCGATTACTAATTTAATGTTTTCTTTTTCATTCCACTTTCATCTTCATACACAGATAGACAGGTGGTTAGTTCTCACAATCAAGTTAAATAAACACTTCTTAACATTGAGGCCAATCTGGTCCAATAAAGTCCATGAGTTATTCCGGTTTCTCAAGATTGTTTTGATGATTACACAGTTGTCTGCCTGCCTACTTCAGACTTATATTAATAATTACCTATTAAGTGCTTGAAGGAAGACACACAACAGACTATGTATTTAAAACACAAAAAGTTGTTTGAAAGGATGCTTGATATTAAATTCATAATTTTCTGTAAGCAAAAACTTACTACCATTATTAATTTCAATAACTTTTTGAAGGTTTCAATATGTGTGAGAATTTGCTTCCAAATTAAAACTTCCTTCATGTCTTAGTGTCCATATCCACGCTATTCTGTTTTATATTGACTAAACAGACCCACAATTTTCCTGATATTTGAACTCTAATTATCTAGTGTTTGTTTCTCAAACTGTGTCCCGCAAAACACTGCTCTTCCGAGAGCTTTTTTGGAGCGTTCGCAGAACAGTGATCAAAATTGGGACTAAATTGGTTGCCATGGCATGAGGGCATGTCGATCGTACTTAGGCGACCAACAGGCGAACAAGCCTCGTGCCAGTCTAGAAAGCATGGGGTTTTGTTAACCGCTGAATATCGGTAACCGTTGTCATAGTTTCTTGATTGTCAAGTTGACCATAAGCTGAGTTTCTGCAAACAACCAATCAATTTTAGATTCTAATTTCTTGGTGTTTGGTGAGGCCATATAAAAAGCATATGTGTTTCAACGGGGGCAGAAAGGTTTGAGAAACGCTGATGAAACCCTATCAACTTTAATGAATCTAAACTTGACATGGAGAAACTATGGCCCGCTAGCCAAATTGAGCCATTGGTTAATTCAATCTGACCCACCTGCTGCTGCCACAACCAAAATAAAACCAAATTTTAATATTTCAGCTAAAATTAGCTCGAGGAATTTGTTAAAATTGCAATTAAATTTAGTTTCAGTATGAGGCAGGCTTATTGTTTTCCACTTTTGTTTTTGTAAATATTGTTCATAAAATGTAACTTTTTATGTCACACTTACATAGCTCGCCAGTCGAGGTGAGCAAAATTTTGGATGAAAAATTTTGCCCACTTCTGATCTAACCTGTAACACCTCGAACCTTCATGCATTCACTTCCTATTCAAAACCTACACGCCTTCCTGTTACATGCTTAGATAATTACTGTGCACCTCCATGCTCATATTGATTAATGGTCTGACAGGAAACAGGGAGATAGGTTTAGTATTACAGTTATTTCCTCATGTATACTGGTAATAAAACCAGTGCAAAAAGCATTTACAATTTATGGATGTTCAATATTACTTCTGTGTTTCCTTAATAGTGTACACTTGCTGTATGAAACTTTTATGCTTGAGAATATAGTGGTTAAAGCAAAGTGAAGCATTGATCTGATATTATTGGGATAAACAAGCTTTAAAATTACAATCCACGGCGCTCCCGAAGTATGTGTACTAATATGGAGGTAACTAAATTTGTTGACCTACTTTACATCAAGTTGTATAAAGGGACTGAAACCCATGGCCCCCTGGCGTATATGGTATACTCACTTGGCTAGCACAGACAGTTCCCGAACTCATAATAGAACCAAAATAAGGAAAATCGGAATAAAACTATGGCCCAATCCTAGACTGATACACATACCATATTGCTCGGTGAATAAATCTATCCGTCAAATAAGACGAAGCCTATTTTTAGCTATTTTTATTTAAAATAGCGTTTTTCCATATAGCCCTCCAATAAGACGGGATGAAAAATGCTTCCACTAATGCATATCAATATTTTTATATTGTTAGAACTTCTTTTTGAAGTATTGATATCAGCGTCAAATTGATTTATTTAAAATTTTTTAGCTCTTGTCATTTTAATGGTTGCCTAAAACTTTCATTAGAAAAGATCCTGCATTACTTCTAAGTGAATGCATGACACCTTGCTTACAGCAGATTAACTTCGAATATATGAATGAGCGCAATCGAACAGCCTGGCTATATAACAACACCCAGCATAAATAATGCATAACACACGTAACAACATGTTTACATTGTAGCATGACACGCCCAGATGTTAACTCAATCACCCATTAAATATTAATAAAGAACCCTGTGGGAATGTCATGACTGAAAGTGGGAGGACAGAATATATGGGCACTGGTTGAGGAAGGGGAGGCCGGATTTGATAATTCAATTTGACTCGCCTGATGCGGCCACTGTCAAACTAAAACCAAATTTCAACAGCTCAAGTAATTTGTTGAGATTGCTATAATATTTAGTTTTGGCACGAGGCTTATTGTTTTCCACTGCTTTTGTAAGACTTTAAATATTGTTTATGAAATATAACTTTTCACGCCACACTTACATGGCCCGCCAGTCTAAGTGGGCATAATTTTTGGCCCCTGATTCAAAACCTTGCCCACCCCTGCTGTATACTCAATTGATAAGAAATTTTCATGGCAATTTCCAAAATTCTATTACAGATACTTCAAGGTTGATGTTGAAGCAAGTGATGCAGGAAACCACCAAGCTAGAACATCAGTTTACATCTACATTCTGCAAACTACTGACAGAATAACTTTTGTTGTAAACAGCCCTCCAAGTGCTGTCAAGTTTCGCAAAAATGAGTTTGTTGCAGTTTTAGGTGAGATTTGAAAATGTTTACTTTGTAATTCTGGTACAATTTTACAATGTGGAAAAGTAAGGCAGTTTCCCACGTGATCCAGGAGGATTATAAAATTATGTTGTGTATTTGACTGAACCTCTACGCTACGTTTTGGATGCAAGTACATTTATATCCAAGTTATGTATTAAATCGTGGGGTCACGCTGAATAAATCAATTTGGGAGTAGGTTTAGGCTGTTGATGGTTGCTGATTTCTTCCATCACATCTTCCCAGTTTTTCTATTGGCCTTCGCTGCTACCTTGGTTTCTTTCACATTCCGCACTTTTTTGGTAGTTTTCTTGATGACTCCAACAGCAACAGTCAGTCGCATGTGCGGACGTAGGGGGGATGTAGGGAAATCCGCTGTTTTCAGCTGTTTTGTCGAAAGCAACATTCTTTTAATAGAAATATTTGTTGTTTTCAGGAAACATTACATCATCACGAGTCATAGTTGATGACATAGAATATCATCTCATGCCTAACGGCCGCCGTGACTACCAGAGGAGTGATGTCACAATACGAGCATTTGATCAACAGACCATGAAGCCTATGACATCATCCGAACTTCAAGAAAAATTAGAGAAAAGTAAAAATAAATTGGAAAAGCTGTTTGGGAACTGTGCTGTGATACAGGTAAAATAATTGCTGTGTTTGGTGTTATAGTAGAAATTTCTCTGTTTATTCAGAATGCAAATAAAGGACACAGTTTCTTGACCTGTTGCCAATCCATATTGGGTATGAAAATAGTCGACTAGGTATTGTGGAGAAAGGCGCAACCAACTAGCTATTAACTGAACCCTACACCCTGCATATTAGTTTCGCAGGTTTTGGGGGAAACTATGATATTAAATATTTTGACTTAGATACCTCCTTATCTGGAATAGATTGGCTTTGACTTCGTTTTTTTCAATTTACATATTCATCTTGAGAGGAGAGGAAATCTGATAAGATGGGTTAATCGTATGGTGAACCACGCCTCTCGTCTGGTTACCAGTTCATATCGAGCATGGACTTGATGGTGGAGGAAGCCGTAACCGACCATCAATTACGTGTGATTCACCCTACGACAGCGAGTCCAACGCGAGTTCTGTTACAGCCAACAATCATCTTGCACATAAATATTCTCGCATGGGATTCGAACCTGCAAACCCACGCAGGGTAATCAGTCAGAGGTGCGATAGCGAGCGTGTTCATAATTCTTATCATGATGTGTCGCACCGCCATAGTGTTGTTTTGTGATAATTAAGTGTGAGGCAATGGTCTACTAACTCTACTAACCATAAAGGACTAGTAGCAATGATGCTTCTGTCTCACTAGAGACTAGAGAATTAAAGGCAAGGTACATGGAAGAGTAGAGACTACCGGTAAATCTACATAATTTAACCTGACCTGCATTTTCTTACAGAATGAGACTATGATGAATGATTATGACCTCACAAACCTGCGCATTGTTGTCATAGTGATGTTATTCTTCCTACTTTTGATCATTCTTTTGTTTTCTGGTCTCTACTGCCACACGCAAAGAAGGTAACAAATATTGTATTGTTATTCAATGTGGGGATGAAACAAATAGTTTTTGAGTTACGTTTGGCAAATATTTGTTGTGTCAGCTGCTGAATTTCAATTGCAAAAATGGAATCGCTGGCTAAGTGACATGAAAGGCTTTTATGACAGCTTCTAATTCGGTTGGAAGTATCCTATGGCACTATCTTAGTTTACACTGTTTCTTGCACATCAAAAATTAATATTTGAATCTGATTAAGGGCAGCAAAACTGCAACCATGCATTTATTACTCATTTGAAAGTCTGACTGATGACTTTGGTTTAGTAAATTCTCTGCCCCTTGGACAATAAGTAGGCCAGTAGTGTATCAAGCTCTTACTTCCATGTTCAGTTCAGTTGCTGATTTCAGCTTGTTTGTACTTTGTTCAATGGGAATCAAAGCTGTTGTGCTTCCGGCTTGTTCTTGGCTAATTATAAACACCTGCGTTGCATCACCCTATCTACTAACAACATTAATCTAGCTTTAAGTTTGTTTATCCAGAGTCTTGTTTTGAGTGAAAGATCCAGCCCTAGCCATTATCCCAAAGTTTTACATTTATTCTAACTCTGAGCAAATCACTGGGTAGGATTTAGGAACAAGGACCAAGTTTGTACGCAGAAGTATAAAATTCATCTCATCAAACTTTTTACTTTATAGTCCCTTGCCATCTAATAATTTTTTTTGTACCCGTAGTGTGTGTACCAGGTTAGGGTTGGGCCATAATTTTATTTCAATTTTTCCTATTTTTGATTCTAATATGAGTCGGGAACTGTCTGTGATAGCCAAGTGAATATACCCCTGGCCCAAAGATTTCAGTCCTTTTACACAACTTGATGTGAAATAGGCGAAAAAAATTAGTTACCTCCATATTGGTACACACACTTCTGGGTCGCCAATTTATCAACCTTTTCCTATCAATAGTCGTTAGTCGTGACTCTAATCTCGCTGTCTTTCTCAGGCACAGGCGTGAGCTTGAAGCATTTGCATCCGGTACGTTAGGCCGACATAAGATGAAGATTGCGTCCCACGACTTACTGATGCAGTCGGGAAGCAAAGTCTATTCAGATATGGGAACTTGTTCCAGTGGGGGATGGAAAGATGAATTCTATAGGTAGATATGAGTCTGGATCTGCATTTCCCAACTCTGAGGAAGGAATCTGTAATAAAATGAATAAATGACTGGTTCCTATTGCAATTATCCAGTCATCTCAAATATATAAGTTTATTTCAATTTTGTACAACAATAATCATTGTAAAGTTATCTGAGTTAGTCAGAATTTGTACAGATGAAACATTGCAGCCTAGGTGTGCAATCGTGAGGCACAATGTATGGCCTATGGAACCTCACATTGCCCTAAACAGACTCCCCACCCTATTATTTTAAATTTTCATCGTTTGTTTTTATATCAGCACTATCGAATATTTGACGTTGTTATGTCAACCTGGAATTAAATGTTGTTCTGATCCAATACTGTCGTTTATTTATGGTTACAATATTCACCTACTAGAATATTTAGCTATAATTTAATTTTATATCGAGAAAAAACAAAATTATTTCATTCAGAAAACTTGGACAAAAAATGGTGGAAGACGATGAAAGTTTATTAGAGGAAATGACTAAAGTAACGTGAGTAACCAATATTTTTCTGTATCTACAGAATAAATCTGCAAAAACACCATGATATGTATTTTTAAAAATTCCAAAATATACAAATTTACCCATATTTACAATTATATCCTGGGGAGTGGGAAATTAATAAGATGGCTTGATATTTTGACAAACCTCAATTTCCGGTTACCAGTCCAGGTGAAATAAAAATGTGGAAAATATGAACATGTTTATGATTGTGCCTTTCCACTCCTATTACTCATTGAAATTTATCAAAAAATGTGCATGTACTGTATATTCTCGCATATAAATCGAGCCTCTAAAAATGGCCCTAAAGCTTTGAATTTTTGAAAATTCGAATATAGGCCGACTCTACAAATCAGCGATTAGAAAATAACCCTCTTAGTTTTCATTTTGAATTTTTAACTTGACTTATATGCGAGAATATACATATTATTATAGGACACATCCTTGTCATTATTTAACGCTGATAAAGTCAAAATCATGATTTCTATGATGGAAATTAAAGTCATGAGTTTAAAAAGTTTGAGTACCACAGCTCTAGATATCATAACTGTTATTTACAATTTGAACCTGCCTGTTTATCTTGTTTTAATTTATGCTTTTTATTTTTTAGACCTGTACCGGTGACTCGTGGACTTTCCAGATCGTCAATCACTCCTCAAACCAAACCAAGAAGCCGGTCTGAGAATGACCAATTGGTGAGTTGAGAGTGAAGTATATTTCAGTATAGAAGACTCATCTCTGAGTGAAGTTGCAGGCAATGCAATGCCAAGATCTCTTGAAACATTATAGAATTATGTTGGTGAAATATGTGTCTGTATAGACCAGACATTGGCAAAGTATGGCCCGCGGGCCAAATCCGGCCCATAGGGTAATTTAATCTGGCCCGCCTGATGCTGCCACAACTGAACTAAAATCAAATTTTGTTGTTCCAGCTAAAAATAGCTCAAGGAATTTGTTGCTATTGTGGTTAAATTTAGTTTTGGCACGAGTTGTATTGTTTTCCACCCTTGCTTTGTAAAACTGTAAATATTGTTCATAAAATGTAACTTCTTATGTCATACTTTTATGGCCCGCCAGTCTTAAGTGGGTGAGATTTGTGGCCTCTTGTTTGGAAACCTCGCCCATCGTGCCACCACATGGTGGTTCATGTAACCGCTGGTCAGTTACAGCTTCCTCCGCCATCAAGTCTATGCTTTCAAAAACAAATAACTAACTTATCCCATACCCGACATGAAATTAAGCCATCTTATTGTCTTCCCTCCCCCCTGGGATATATATGTAAATCCTATCCTATCCTTTTGCAAATGATTATTCTTTACATAATTAAAACCTGTAAACCCACACATGATAATCAGGAGTCCAGTGACAAGCATGCTCAGCACCATGCGCCAAATGACAATTCAAAATAGGACTTTGCTATGACTTTAAGTTTACTCCATAACACAATTTCAGAGAGAGAAGGCTCTTCCACGTACAAGCACTGATGTTTGGGTTCCGAAGCAGCAAGATCGACTCAGTCAGAAGTTTCCTGTCATATCATCAGAGGCATTGCAGCAGTTACTAAAGGATAGATCTAAAAAAAAGAAAGCTGAGAAAAAGGCAAAGAGAGAGAGCAGTCATGCAGTAAGTCAGCTAGCTATTCATTGCAGTTTTATGTATTTTATCGGAACACCTAGAGCAGTGGTTCTCAATCTTTTACCGGCCGCGTACCACTTTACTGTTTTTTACTATGGCCGTGTACCACCGACAAAGCTTCTTTTTTGACGTGGAAAAAAATGTTTGTTTGATCTTATGGTGGACCCCGGGACTTCTCTCGCTCGATTACTAGTCCATTTTAAGCATGAATAGTAAATGAAATTGATGCTTCTGAGCTGTTGGTTTTTATTAATGATATATTTATTCTGGGCTTGGAAACTTGGTAAAAAGAGCGGGAATGTGAATCATTGTTGAATAAAGTGTTTTCACACCTGCACGCTGAGCGAAGAATGATACAATCGGTTGCTGATATTGGAAAGACTGACATCTTTCCAGTTCGACATTTTGTATCCAATTTATTACATCATGAGTGAGGTGGTGAGAATGGGGTCTGAACTCGTTTACCCACTGTCCTAACTTCTTGGCCATCACACATATCACACCAAGTCTGTTGGGAATTTATTTTCTTTTCATATATCAAGTTCCCACTTTCCATACATTGGTCAGAAACATACACTTCAACAGTTGTTTTATTCCCCAGGATTCTCAAATCTCCTGTGAAACAACATCTTCATCACTAAAGCATCACCATGAGGAGGAGGAGGACCGAAGAGAATCTCTCCGATACGAGGAACGATACAGACGAGGGAATAGCCGAGATGAAACTTTACTCAAAAGTGATGAAGCTCAATTAAATGAAAAGAAGAAAGCAAAGAAAGGTTTGGATTGTTGTGTAGTACCAGTAAATGATAAACTGCATATACTTTTATTTCTTGTACTGCTTAGGTTTACCAAGTAAAGTGAAAATTTTTTTAAGAGGGATGAGATCCCACATTGAAGTATTTGGTTGTATTATGAGGTAATATTAAATATATCATCAATTCAATTTTATCAAATTTCAATTTGCTTGTTCGATACATCACGAGTTCCTGAATCTTTATACTATGAAGATAATATTGTTAACGTCCAGCACTCAGGGAAAAGCAGGCATATTTTGGAAAAGATTTTAATCAAAAAAGATGTTTCTAACAGAAAACTGTTTATATCTATAGAACGACATACTGAGAGAATACGGCATGGGCGGGAATCGCCCGAACTCAATCTACACTCAGGCGGGAACAGTGAGGATATTGTGAGGAAACACTCAACAATATCGTTACATGCCTCTGATGACATCACACCAACCAATATGACATCATCATCAGATTCTCATATGACATCCTCAATGACAAGTGTAAAAGAAATATCTGATGTGTAAACAATTAAGACATCAAATCTAGAAGAAAACATTTTGTAAATCTCTTTATCAACTTTCTTTTCCTCCTAACATTAATATGAGAACCCCTATCTCTATTCTAAAATATTTCTTCTCAGTTACTGGGGTTTGGGCCATAAATTTCTGTAAATTGTAGAGTAATCGTTCCATAACCAATTTAAAAAATGTTTATTGACACACTTTCGCACTGCCACTGTGATAAAGTCTCAGTAAGCACTTAGCTACTTTTCAAGTAAGAAACAAAATCCTATTGATCCCAACCTGATACAGGGAGTTAGTCTTGGGGTTGAAATCATGATTATTTACCTGGGATGCGAATATAAGTTATTTAACATGTGAACATACCGGTAAGTTAGTCGGTGGGAATAGAGGTTAAATCTGCGGTCTTCAAGATGCAAAGTTATCCATTATGCTCTGCACAAAGTAGCAGACATGGAAAACAAATATCCAACCTGCATTCTTACACACTCATTGTTTTTCGACCAGAGTTTTAGGTTCAAAACAGTAATTGGGGCTCTGAATTGTGAGTTCTGTAGGTGGAATTTCCTTTTTGTCGATTTTGTCAATACCTATTCATGTGAATGAGTATGTCCTATTCAACAACTATTAAGAAAGAAAACAGAAGTCATCTTCTTCCAATTCAAACAGCCAATCAAAAGTTACATTGAGTGCTTTTAATATTTTTTTCTGCTCCGTTGATGTTAATCATATTTCAATTAGCAACGTGGAGCCTCAATTTGTGAAAAAATGAAATTGCAGAAGGGTCATTCCTTTCATTTTATTTTCTGTAATAATTTTTTATTGTCACTTTTGGAGTGTCACAAACCGAAATATTCCACTTTCATAAATTTATGGGCGTTTTGGAATAATTGTTAGTAGAGAGCGGCCTGTGCTGCTATAGCTACTAGGCCATTGCTATGTTAAACTGGCTGCGTTTTTCTGTTTGTGTATATTTGTGTAAAATTATGTTGTTTTTCACTAAAATTAAATTTCATTATGACATCATTTCACTCTAATTATTTCTTCACAATAATATATATTTGTCACTGCACTGCCTGTTTTTCTTCTTTTATTTACTTTTTTGTTTTCACTTTTCAAAATTAAATAAATTTGATTCAACTTAATTTACCTGTCTGAAATTAAAATAGTTTGCTTGGTAATAATAGTTTCAGATGGGATTAGCGTTGTATTTGTGATTTCCGCATCTTTGCTTGGCAAGAGTCAGCATTGGCCAAGCATGTTGCATGGAGGACTTAATAAGTTCATAAACTTGTTTCTCTGACAGACTTTTAGGTTGCCCCACTTATTTTTACTGGAAATCTTTGCAGCAAGCCGTTGAACCGTTCGATTTTTTTTTCAGGAAGTTTTCAGGATTATACTCACATCATATTTTTGTTTTCAAATTATGCAAAGCTGACCAGGCGAGTGAAAGTCTCAATGAGGACGCACGGCTGCTAAATTGTACTTTTTCAAGATTGCCAAAATTGTTGGTCTATTTGGGCTCGAGTTTCATTTATTTACCATTTAAAAGGCTCCCAAAGTATCAAGTTTTTCTGTCAAAATTGAGTTCTTGCCTCGTTTCTTTATCTAATCATTATAAGTTTATGACGGACCAAATTAATTATACAAGAATGAATTCCCTTCCCAGTTGGTAGCGTAGCAAATCCCACTATGAATTTCAGTTTTCCAAAACCGTCTAGAGCAGTGGTTCTTAAACTGGGTTCGATCGAACCCCTGGGGTTCGGTGGAGCTGTTCCAGGGGTTCGACGAAGGTGCTCTGAAACAGTTGCATATTATGAGACTTTTTTATCACCCTGCATACCAATTATGCAAAAATAACTATAGTTCATGATGACTAATTACTAATGACTTGAACAATTGAATGGAACAATTAATTGGTGTTACCCTTATTCATATTCTACCGTACTAATAAAATTTAATTCAATTTTACGGATAAATCGAATATAGGCAGTAATTGTACATGAATGAATGCAAAATCATAACGTGTTTGAATTTCACTAGGTGATAAATTTGCGACAAGGAATAGTTTATCGCAGAGCTTTACCCTAAATTATTATGATCCATTCAGGACAACCTCGATATGGCGACGAATTAATCCTATCTCTATTTCTGTAAAATAAAACAATTGGCAAACGATTTTATTCGCATTTCAGCGCAGTTTAAAGTTTGAGAACAAATTGCTTGAACTACCAACGTTTATGGGGTATATTATCATCTTTCGGATTTTCAAAGTTATTTTTTATCAGTTTTCGCCTGTTCACTCGCATAACTTATACAACAAAACCATCTGCTCATTCTGCCGCCAACGTCATTGTGACAAAACAATGGTTATTCCCACATGGTTATTGATATCTAAGGTTTCATCACAATGTTCATATTCTATAACCTTGCAAGAATTAGCTTCCGCTTTATGACGTTACGGTTTGGCTTCTAATTTCAACCGTTCAGTACAATGGGGTTCGGCGGGAGCTTGCAGAATAGCGCAGGTGTTCGGCAGGCTCACAAAGATTGAGAACCACTGGTCTAGAGTAATCTTTAGTATGAGTTGAGGGCTAAACAGAAACTAAAAGTCTCTTTGATATCTACACATCTGATACTGAATCGTGACCAGGCGAGTGAAATTGTAAAAAAACAAATAGTATCGAAGCAAGGAATGGCACACTCTATCCATCATAAAGAAAAGATATTCATCTCTGGGAAACGTGAAGACGGCAACTGAAATACTAAACACCACTGTGAAGTGAAGTGACCTGAGATTTTAAATACTCACAAAACTGTCTTAATCTTGCCCGTCAAAAATTTCGTCCAAGGCTTCGTTGTAAAGAGTTGGTGCATTCTATTTTTCACTGCGTTAATACACCCTCATTCTAAACAAGGTTTCTCATAAGCATGTATTGATATGTTAACTGCTTGTCTGAGAAAGTCTGATGAAACCTCACAGGAATACATTTTTGTTAGTGCAGGACTGCATAGCATACTGGTATGTGAGACACTATATTTTTAGAACCTTAAATTTTCAATTCGTCATTGCCTTACCATGGTGAAGTCTTGGGCAATGAAATTTGAACCTGACATCTCCCCGACGTGCCAAAAAGTGATTGACTGCGAGCTAAAATTAGGAGCTGAAGGATATTCGTGGGCCAGGAGAGGGGGGAGCGCCTGCGAGAGACCGGTGCGTATAATAAAGATACTGAACTGAGTTGTTACTTACGAATATAACATGCCTAATTAAACTGTGATAATGACATAACGATTGGCGGAATCTAGAACACAAAATAGTAAAAAAAGATTGTTAAACTATTTCCTTCAAGTTCGGCAAGCCATATTAAATCGATACATGAGCCATACATGGTCCGCGGTTTGGGAACCGCAGATCTAGTTGTTCACTCCCCAACTCCCCTCCCTAGCCAAATGCATCCACTAACAATTTAGTCATGGTCCACAGTTTACTTCACAGTATCACAATTAAATAAACAGTAACATTTACAGAAATTTTGCAGTAATTCGCAAGCAAAATAGGTTTTAAGAATGATCCAAAGATAAAATAGGAACTTGATGCGTCAATAGAACACGCCTCCAAATTGAATTGCTCGCCAAAGCCGGCTAATTTAAGCCTTTAGAAGACATTATCGAACAATCGAAAGCCTTCGAAATTGCTGTAAGACACAAATCAAAACTTCAGAAAACTGCAGAAGGATAGCTGATATCTGGAGGCGTGTAAAATATTGAAGTTAGTGGAGCGATTTAAAAAAAAAAACTTCAGACATAATGAAAGTGTAGGTATAAGTGACTACTAAACTGCCGTGAGATATTATTACAGAATTTTGGAGGTGTTTTACGCTCTCATTTAGGCACAATGAGACTGACCAACCTGCCAAGTCACGACGGTAACTGGAATGACAAAAACTGCTGAAACTATATTGAAATATTGTGGGAATAAACTAATTCTAGAGGTTGTTATACATGAGAATTAATAAATTGAAGGTCACGGATGAGTGAAATATTTGTATTATTATTATTTAAATCGAACTAAGCAACAAACCCAGCCCTATAACACAGAGGTGAGCAAGGTTTTTGAACCAGGAGTCAAACATTTTGCTCACCTAGACTGGCGGGTCATGTAAGCGAGAAGTAAAAAGTTACATTTTATGAACAATATTTTCAGTGTTACAAAAGCAAAATGTGAAGCTAAAACATCAAAATTTGATTTCAGTTTGGTTGTGGGAGCAGCAGGTGGGCCAGATTAAATGACCCAATGGGCCGAATTTGGCCTGCGGGCCGTAGTTTGCCCATTTCTGCTATAACGTGCTGCCCTGGGTGACTGCCTCTTTGGCCCCCAACTAGACATGCCACGACATGACTTATTTCTGAGCAAAGTTATGGAAGAATGCCAAAAGCTGCTGGACCCAGCTGTTCATTACATGAGGGCAAAGATAGGGCAACCACCAAAATAAAATTACAGAACATGAACACAGATCCACTAGCGCAAAGCTATGAGAAAAGAGTGAAAGTTGGTCTCGCACAACCTCCACTGATAGTCGGGACTCTTTTTCATTTGGCCATCGCATGGTAAAAAGCAAATTTTCAGAAAAAATTGTTCTAATGATCCATAAATTCAAAAACTATGAACACTGAATAAAGCAGCAATTCCCAGCTGAGGGTGGGTGGCTCCCTAATGGGGCCAACAAAGCTATGTTTTCAAGAAAACTACTCATTCTTCCTGGTTTCATTACTTGATAAGGTTATTCCACACATAGTCTTCACTTTGCTGAGCTTAAATTGTTAGAACATAATGGGATTCGGAATCTACCAATCAAAACAACATTATAAATGATAAACATGGGGACATAAGTGATAAAAGTCACAAGCCATAAAAGGTTGGGACCACTGGATTAAGCACCATTCCGCTAAGAGACAATATTCTGAAGGTAACGGTGTAGAACAAAAGAAAAGGTAATTTCCATCAATGTGAACTGTAACTCGTTTAAAGCCTTATGCAGAGCGACCATTTTATATGCTATGCAGAAAGCTCTTAAACAGGAATGATAATCAAGATAAGAGCTGACTTGCTGGTAGCCTCATGCAGAGTGGGCAGCAAATAGGCTTTGCAGAAACATAAAACCATAATAGGAATGGAAGGCAACAATAAAACAGTAACAGTAGAATAACAGTTAAATATATGAAACTTATAGGAAGCAAATAGGGATGCCCAATTGTGATGCACTGGGGTTGCAGACGACCACTAAGGGACAGAAAAGGGTACTGCCGTAATATGTCTATCAGGTTAGGCCATCAATTAATACTGGTTTTTCTTATTTTAGTTCAATCACGAGTTCAGGGGCTGTCTGTGTTAGCCAAGTGTATATCCCCCTGCTTATAGGTTTCCATCCTTTTACACAACTTGATGTAAAGTAGGCAAACAAAACTAGTTACCTCCATATTGGTACACACACTTCTGGAGTGCTCAGAAAAGTCAGTCAATGATCCAAAATCTCGAAGTTGATGAAAAATTTTGATTTATGTTTTCAAGATTCTTGTTTCTGTAGGACAAACTACTTTACTCTGCTTTTGCATTGATTGATCCGTATCGCAAGGAATCTGTATTAATAACAAGTATGACTATTCCTAAGTCTTGCGCACATCACAAATGTATTTCTGTGACTTTTCGATGAATTTTACATTAATTAGAAGAGTCATCTTCACTCTTGCTACAGCATTCTTGCATCATAAGTATACGGATCTACCAAAGCAAAAGCATAGAAGAGGAGTGTTAGTCTGCATGACCTAACTCACAGTTGATTAAGATTTTGAATGCCAGTACCTAACTAACATTACAAAAATACGGGGGATTTGTTATGAAGTCAGTTCTCAATATAACTTAACCAGGTATATTGTTTTTAAATCAGTAATTGTTTCAAGTAATTTTACTTCATTTAATAAATCTGTGAGGGCCAAAACAATATACAGTATCAATAAATTTCCTTCGCAATTTTAAAAAATTTTCAGACTCAATGGAAACCCTATACATTGATACTATTAATATTATACTTCTGCTATAGCATGTTTGTATTATGCACAAAGTCATTCCTCACACAATGCAAGTAAGTATTTTTGCAGCAAGACTCTTAAATCATGCTTGACAAGAACTTTGTTCAGAATAAAGATGAGGAAAGGCTGCAGAATAAAGTCGAGCAAAACGATACGTTGGACATCCCTAAATTGAATAATAGAAAAGATCAGCACCTGATTACGGTGGCAAAAATATTTCATAAGAAAATAGAAGAAACGATTTCACAGAAAATTATTTTTCAAAATGTTAGCACCAACAAGAAAAATATATGAATACTTTAAGAAGTTAAGAAATTAAAAGTAAACAAAGCATGACATTCAAATACAGCAGTTTACAGCGAGTGGTGGCAATCAGTCTATAACATGCAAAACAGCATATTGCTCTGTCATCTATTTCAAGTGGCACACTGGTAGAGGTAAGATCGGGCCCAAAATTTCAGCTCGGCCCGACAGAGGCCCGTGGGTATTAAACTCGACCCGAGCCCGATTAATTAACAGGATTTGCAGGCATGAGCCCGAAGCAAACTCCGAATTTCGTATTTCATTTAGAAGTTCATTGAATTGTCATTGCAAGAGTTTAGTACAGTATGAGTCGTGTTGATGAGGCAACTTTTGTTTTTTTGCAGACCACCGTCTCTTGTGGCCAAAACATGGCCGAAACGCCTCATTTGAAAAAAAAGTCAGCGATAAAGAAGCCTGACCTGACCCGAACGTAATGATTGACATTTCAGGCACGACCCCGCCGGAATTTCGGGTCGGGTTGGGTTCGGACTGGGGTTCAGGTCTTAGCTCAACACACTGGTAGGAATAAAAAAAATTCAGTTAAACACATTTACCAACTTTAACGTTGGCTTTTTACCAGTTCAAACTACCAGGGGGTTACGTAACTCTTTTTTTCATTGATTTTCAAATTTTTCAAGCATATGGGGCATTTACTTTCTATGATGCAAATACTTCAACCTGATCTAATAAAAATGAATGAAATTGGGTATGTTCATTTTATGCCAAGCAGATGAGAAGTCATTTTAATGAATGGATTGATATTTCGTAACATAAAAAAATTTTGCAAATCATGGTTTGATAAACAATCTCGATCAGGGTATCAACGATCTCTATCTCGCACGTTTCAGTAATTCAGCAGGTCATGTGACGCAGGAAGCCATAACACTTTGCTTTGTTCTCTGTCAACTACAGTGTGGATCTGCTTGGCTACAGTGTTGGAGGATCCGCCATGAATGTAAACTGTGAAGAAAATGTTCGTCAGTTATGATAGAAGTCTATTAGGTGCTCCTGAAGTAAGAATACCAATATGGAGGTACCTAATTTAGTTACATCAATTTGTGGTTCACTTGGCTAACTCTGACAGTCCCCAAGCTCGTAATAGAACTAAAATATGGAAAATCGGAATAAAATTATGATCTAACCCTAACCTGGCACACATACTCTGAAAGTACTGTTTTTTATACCAGGGGTTCCTAAATTTTTGGTGTTACGGAGTCCCATGATGAAGTTGACTATTATTTATAGAGCCCCACAATGAAGTGATGAAAGCACAACAAAAATCACATTGTTACTTACTGATAAATGTTCCTGAGTGAATTAAAATTATGGTATTCAATGACTCGGATGTATTAAAAGGTTTTTTGGCCAGTCACAAAGATTGGCCATGTCATTATTTAATGGGTTAATCGCGGGGCCCCTAGGTTTTTCCCACGGATCCATATCCCGCAAAGAAACACTGATATAGAAGGCTGATCTCTCTCACCCCAGCTCATTCATTTAATACATCTGTGAGGGCCAAAACAATATTTGCTTGAGGCTTGTACAGTTCCTTGTGCAGAGGTAATGTGCGATTCTCTATTGCAAAGATAGTAGAAGTTCCTAGCTTGTTTAGAGCCTTGTTGAGAATGAAATAACGAAAAAAGCACCAACTCACCAGTTCCGAGATACTTTGTGCTCAATTTCTTTCTGATAGAATTCGCTCGTTCGAATATTTCTTTACTTTGCTTCATCGAGATTTTCTCACGGCCTGGGAAACGATCCTGACTCTCTCTGTAAAGATATCGGCAATGAGGGGGGAGGAAAGCTGATGAGACTTGATCTATTAATTGTTCAATGTGGCACTTGGCAATGTGGGGGAGAGGACGTACCATGTACGTAATTTCAATGTGTTTTTTCAATAAAACATACTTTCGCTTTACTATCTGTTATTTGAAGATTATTGTTAGCTAGTTATTTTTGAGGTGGGACGTGAGACTTCAAAAATTCCAAAATGGGGTGTGTCTCAGAAAGTTTGAGAACCAAGGGTCTAGAGCTTTGCTCAGAGCAATTATCTGAAGATGTTACTGATGAAGAACATTTCCTTATGTGCCCGAAGATGCTCGTTTGAAGCTTTGTTTAGAACAGTGGTTCCCAAATATTAAAAAAAAATTCCATGACGAACCCCTTGCAATTTTTTTAATGATTCCCGGTCTTGTGCACTAAAACAATACATCAAAAGATCACGACAAAAATGCATATCAATGCACCACTTTGGGAACCGCTGGTCTGGAGTTGAGTTTGGAAATACTTCATAAAAAGTTCCTTACTTGATTTTCTTGGCGTTGTTGTATTCAATGAAGACAATAATCGGATAAATCTTGTGAGAATGAAGTCGGTCAACCGCGTCTTGGGATATCTCAAGCAGAACATGGCGGTGCTAGAAATAAAATTTACAAAATGAGATAGGTTGTGCTTTTTGAATACTTAGAAAACAATATGTGACTTTTCTTTGTAATGGCACCGCCAGACGCATAAATTATTGAAACATAGAATCTATCACTCAAACAGTTCGCTGAGTGTTCATACACAATAATGGACATGCTTTATCAATAACTCACTAAGGAAAAATGAGTCATTTGTCAAAATCGCATTTTAAAAATATGGCCTCACAAAAAATTGTGGAATTTACCAAAACTTTTGACGGGAAAAAAACAAGATGGCGGTGATTCGGAATTTTTCTCAGAACCAGTTCAGGTAATTTCATACTCAATTTGAAGTACCCAGTCATTGTTGTATGTACAACCAATATATTCTTTATAAAATTAAAATGGTGAAGCGAGAGTTTTGACAACTCGAATAGCCATTTTGATTCATGTGTTGTAGTTAGCTGCACATTGTTTGTTCTAGAATTTCTTTTCAAACCTTCAATACAAAGGCTTTTCAAAATTGGTCAATCAGACATTTCACATTTAGATCTCGTCATATTTCACCATGTCTGCTTCAAAAGCTTATATGGAGAAAATGTATGAAAATTCTTTTCGAATACCAGCACTATAACCAGGGCATAATAAATGCGGAAATGGATTCTCAAAAACAGTCGTTCAAATGTGATATTTTTTAAAAATCTCTTTCCAGTCCTTGTTGTATGTCCAACCAATATATTCTAACGTATTGAATTAAAAGGAAAGATTCTTAGGAAAAGTTGTGAAATTTTTTTTCAAAAATCTCTTTCCCGACCTGCTGCATCTCTTGAATCAAAGTATCCACTCTCAGAGCCACAGTGTTTTGTTTGAAAGTGTCGATCAACTCTTTGTCATGGATGTCTACGTTGCTGGGGAGAGAATCGAGGGCACATCTGAACAAAAAATTAAACAGTGACATCTTGAGATTAGTATTTTCAAATAGATTTCAAGATGTTGCTTGTGGTAATCAATCTGATTAAAACTATTGAACTCATTGTACGAGAGGCTCACTCCACCATTTGTTTGAATACAGTTTCCTCCACCATCAAAGTCAACGAATATGGGAGAGAGTATTGCTACACCGATAAAGGCTAGTAACCAGTTAGCATACTGTGATTCACCAAGCTGCCTCATCGGAGTATTTCTATTGTAAATGTGGCAATTGGTGTTTTTTCAGATGGCTGAGCATGATCGATGATGTCATCAGTTACAGGTGAATGATCATGACCAGTGTGATGTCATCAGTTACAGGTGACCTATACTGACAAACCAGCTGACCAAGTGCTCTCTCAAGTTGGGAGCTGATTGTAGTTCTATTGTAGTAACTTTGGGTAATTATACATTTATGCTTATGAGTTAAGTATCACTTCTCATTACAAGGCAGTTCACATAACTGCTGACTTCAAAAATTTATTCCCTATCCGACGAACTGGTAACCAAATGAGAAGCCTATTTCCTCAGCTTTTCTATCTCCAGATAAATTATTGAAATAATTTTATTCAGTCAGGCACCGGCTTACTTTGCAAAACTGTTTCCGTATTCTTTCACCAGTCGTTCACAGACAGTGTTGGCATGAGGTCCGAACACTACGACCGGACGACGATGCTCGCAGACGTGCTTTGTTACAACTTGATATGCTGCCCCCGAGTGTTCAAAACTTGTTTCTGTAGATTCGATACTCGTCTCAGAAACTGATTTATGAAGTTTGATATCACCACTGGACCGTGAAGAATGCCTATGCGGCTTTCGACGCTGTGAAAAAAGAAAAGGCGTCAGAAAAGATCAAGAGATACAACAGGTGTACCTCATAACGGTTTGGGGATTGTAACTCTTTTAAAAAGGGCATGAAAGCGGAAATTAGGGCGTTCCGGAAGTATGTGTACCAAGATGGCGCACAACCTGAACCCTAACCGGGTGCACATACTTCGGGAGCAACGTAATTAGGGATTGTGAAGCTGCTGTTTCGCATTTAATGCGCTCGCATTGTATTCTTAGTCAGATTCTGACTCTGAGTGCAGAAAATCGAGTCGCCAATACCAAGTGAATGAACTCGAATAACCTGCGAGAGAAACTTAGAGACTCTGCGATAGTTCTGAAAACACAGTAGCATGTTGCAGCAGTAGAACAAAATAGTCTAATAGTTTTCAAATGCTTGATAAACAGAGTAGAAAATAGAGTAGCAAATTGATTGAAAGAATACTTTAGGCTATAAGGTGTTATTACACTAGAACTAAGATCTGAAGCTCGAGCACGACCTGTTTTAGCTACGAGAGACTGTTGTCTGCAAAAAAAAAGATCAACACGACTCATACTGTACTAAACTCTTGCAATGACAATTCAGAGAACAAATTTCAGGTTTGATCCGGGCTCGGGCCTGCAAATCCAGTTAATTAGTCGGGTTGGGCTGGAATTTTTGATTCCGATCTTACCTCTATATTACACCTTCTATTTCAAACAACATTCCGTACAAGAAACACCGTTATTATTTTATTAGAACTGGAATCTGCCTCGTCTAGGATTGTCAACCTATTGATTTATTACATTCTGAGTGCGTTGGTAAGCATTGGAGTTAAACCCCAACTTTTTTCTACATACACGAAGAAAGAAAAACCACAAACCTTGAAGAAGCTTCTTCTCCCCGTTCCCCCCAACTTTTTTCCGGCCGTACTCCCCGCACAAGATGCCGAGTCATCGAAATCACGATGCAGACCGCTGCTCTCTCTTTCAACCCTGGTAACCATGGAAACAATAATAATAAATCGAAAACTACTTTCTACCTTCATTTTTGTTCAACTCCAAAACCATTTTTTTCAGACATTTGTTTGTGCACCTTCAATATATAAACGGGGGGAGTTATGTGTAAATAATTTTTGAACCCACTGATGTCACAGAGTGGTTCATGCAACCATGAATGGCTTCCTCCGCCACATGATCGGACAACTTATTACCTTGGTATGAATATACAAATCCTGTCATTGTGATGAGCCATAAATAAAGAGTCAGATCTTATACAGTCAGGCAGACTCAGCAACCGATATGTAAAATTTTTTTAATTCACTGAATTTCCGAGAGGCTCAAAACTAACCGTGTTCACAATTAGTCCCCCAATTTAAAGAACATCCCTGATCAGAAAATAATTTACAAAATATCCCTCAATTTTTCATCAATCTAAAGCATATTCCCTGATTTCAAGACAATTCCCCAATAAATCTGTAAATATATCATTTTCACCCTTATTTTAGCTACAAATACTATTCCACAAAAACTCACATGAATTTGCTGGGTATTTTACCATGCACGGTTTTCTCTCCATGCTCATCGACTAGCCAAGCACTCCATGACCCCATCGTGTGGTCAAGATAAGTGTCATCGACGAGTAGAATCGAATTCCGAGTGAAATGAAGATTCCCTGATGGTGGTTCAACAGCATTGTTGTCAAATAATGCTCTGAAATAAAGAAAATTAAATTTGAAAAATTCTCCCTCTCTCTCGATAAAAATCGGTGACATCCCAAAAGCTAACTGATAGCAGTGATGGCTATATGTAACAATATTTTTTTTTTTCAAAAACATCCCGAAATCATATTTTCACAATCAAATATGTTTAAAAATCCTATTAAACAGAGGATATTGCACAAGTCAACTACTTATTCAGAATGACTAGATGTGGAGTAGTCGCGACATTAAGAGCCACATCCAGAGAAAGGCCAAACCAAATACTCCAAATCGTATTCAGCTATATTTTTATAGCAATATTTATTTTCTATTCATTCACTGGTTGTCCATATACAACCACTTTATCAACTCAACAGATTGTGCCTATACAACGTTTTCCTACCTATCCAGGCGACTCACCTCACATAGAAGAAATCTCCTGGTTCCATTGAGAGTTTTGAAAATCCAACTGAATTGTAATAAACGGAGAGAGAAGAATTCACAGTTGGTTTTGAGATCAGTAAGGATGCTCGTTCAAGTGTAGAACTCCGAAGATCAGTGCTAGAAATGAGAAAATAAATTGAAGGACCCACGCCAGACTCCTGACTCCAGATAATTTAGACTCTGACTTTATTATCTTAAGATCTTATCTTATCTTTGATAACAAAACTTTTTGGTATGCAAGCTTTCTCGAAATAACTGCTGACAATGCTCAGGTCAACAATTAGCTCAGTATTCCATGAAATAATTTTACTTGAATATTTACCCTGTGAAAAGTTGAGGGATAAACCACAGTCTCATGTTCGATTGCCTGTCCATGTTGAACATGGGGATGGTTACTATAAAGATATTATCTCTGAGAGATAAATGCCGATAAAATGACTTAACCATCGAGGGCCTCGTCCATTACTGATTGAGATTGTGTATAGCAATGGCTTTCAATCTTTTTGGTGTAGTGGACACCAGTGGAAACCCAAAGAAACATAATGGAAAGCTTGTGAACCTTAGGTAGTAGTTTATTAATTCCTATGCTCTACATGATATAAACTATAATTATACATAAAAGCAAACCTAATACTAGCAAAACAAAAATGTACCAAGTTTTCTACTAGTGGCAGATTGGCATTTATTTTTATTTTTAAACAATATACGAGTGATAATGTAGATTGTTAGATTTTAATGAAAACCCTCAAAACTTTTGGATTGCACTGGCAGAAACCCAGTTGAAAACCAGATAGATCAACATGTATGAACATAGTCGCGAAGTACGTCATTTGCTGAATTATGGCAGCTACACCCTTTCCTCAAGTCTAGTCAATCCTTTATTTCAAGCCTTACCTATTATACTCTAAAAGTTGGTCCCCAATCTTCAAATCATTTGTATTCTCTCCATCTCCAACAGCAGCGATAAAAATCCCGGATCGATTTCCTCCCACTAAAGTTACATGACCACAGTTCCCCGTCACGAAGATATATCGAGGCTGTCCGATCGGTTGAGCTCTGATTGACTCTTCGACATATGGACTGAGAAATAAAACAAGGTTTTTGTTTCAAAGTAAAGCAGCAGGATAGGATTCACATATTTATCTCGAGGAAAGAAAACGATGAAATGGCTCGTTCATATGACGAACCCCCTCTGGTCTGGTTACCAGTTCATATAGAACAGGAATGAGCAAGATTTTTGGATCAGGAGCCAAATATTTTGCCCACGTTCACTGACGGGCCAAGTAAATGTGGGACGTAAAGAGTTACATTTTGTGAATACACAGTGTTACAAAAGTAACAGTGAAAATCAATAAACCTCGTGCCAAAACGAAATTTAACCACAATTTCAACAAATTCCTTCTGCTATTTTTAGCTGAAACATCAAAATTTGGTTTCCGTTTGGTTGTGCAGCATCAACCAGATTGAATTACCCAACGGGCTGAATTTGGCCCGCGGGCTATACTTTTCCTAAGTGTGATATAGGACATACAACAGGTCAACTATTCCCATACCAGACATGAGCTGGTAAGTTATAACCATGGTTTGGCAATGGTCACACCATCTGACCAGCTTTCCTTTCCCTCACAAGCAAAACCCATGACCTACCTTGACCTTGGAGTTGTTCCAGGGGTCATAGTGCCTTCATTGTCTTCACAAGGTGTCAGTGCTGAGTTACGTGGTTGCTTAGTAACTTTCATAAAACCGAGACTATCTGAGAGATTGCTCTCAATACTGGACTTGTATTCTGAAAAATAATGGTCATGGATAATTGATCCCGATACCACCACAAAGCGATGACCAAAATACATTCTAAAACAGGGATGGACAATTACTTTTCTGAGTGGGGGAGAGTGGCACAATGTAACAATCCGGGTCCTTATGGCGCAATTTTCATCAATATTTTCATCGGAACTTTATATCCATAAAAACTATAAATGTAATTTCAACAGACACAAGTAGGCCGGATAAAACACTTTGGTGGGCCGGATGCGGGCCGTAATTCGCCCAACCCTTGTTCTGAAGCCATAGCCAATCAACCATACCTGATGACATCACACACAATACTTGGCTGTACGAGAAGACAAGCCAGTTGCGCTTGCGATCAACATCTTACTTCCCAGATTACACTGGATCAGCAATTAAATGTTGCTACTCAGCCGTCTAAACCAGTGTTTCCTAAACTTTCATTCATTATTGCCTGTTTACAGCACTCCACATTATCATGAATATTAAAGTTGGAGACAGAATGCATACACTATACTGACCCATAAATGTGTGACATGCACCTCTTTGGATTAGAGATGTACCAATATAGCATTTTTGATATCACATTTTTGCCGACACAATACAAAAAAGCCTGTGAACTCTCGAAGTATGTGAACCAAGATGGCGGACACCGGAACGTAGTATGTGTACCAGGTTAGGGTTAGGCCATAATTTCAGGTACAAATACTATGGGAGTCACTTGACTAGTCCCCGAACTCGTAATAGAACCAAAATATGAAAAATTGAAATAAAATTATGGCCTAACACACATACTACGTTCTGTTGTCCGCCATCTTGGTACACATACTTCAGAGGTACCAAAGCGTCAATACCTATTGCTGATATCACAATATTTAAATAATACATATTCACCATCAATGTACAAGGTGTCTTTGTTTATTAATAGTTCTTATTGTGCTTGTAGTTCTTATTAATCATACAATGAAAATTATTCAAACTTATAATTGTTATTACTGTCAAATTGGGCGAAATTTTTTGGACACCCTAGATATATAATGTTCTTGAGTGTACAGGACGCACATGATAAAATATTTGTCTGTAAGCATTATTTTAAGTGAAAGAACAAATATATCAGAATGTGAGAACAACATTGCAAGATCACCGATATGGTGTAACTCTAATGGCTTAATTAAACATTTGAACATTCACACTTACTTTCCAGATTATACTGGGCCAAGAACTCAATGTTATCTCCAGGCTGGCTCTGACTCATGATTACTCTGCCCAACTCTTCATTGGCACATCGGAGGTTGATGCCGTTGTACTGAAACAAGTAGACAATTGAAAGATCTGACAGATAATGGCAGTGGGATTCAAACCCATGATATCCAAATCGCCAGATTAGCGTAAAAACCTCTTCTCTCACCTCTAGTAACTGATCTCCGTACTCCAGCCCAGCTCTTGCAGCAAGGCTATCTTCAGTGATGCGTGACACGAAGATCCCACCCTTTTCTCCGCCCCCAACAATTGATATACCAATCGGATCGGTTCCTTTAGTCATTCTGACTAGTCGCGGATCAGTAGTCACTGGTGGCCTAAGATGGAAACAGTTGATAATTAATTTATTTTTAAGGCGGAAAGGGCATAGGGAAAATTATTCAATATGGGTAAATTAGTTATTTCCAATTATGGTAATGTTACTAGCAATGCCCACATTCAATTGGCATGATAGTTTTAGAGTTCAGATTATTTTTAAGCTCAGTATGGTTGATTGACTAACCATACCAGACACCAACTGGTAACCAGACCAGACATCACCCGGTAATCATACCAGACACAAACTGGTAACCAGGCCAGACATCAACTGGTAACCAGATCAGACATCAACTGGTAATCAGACCAGACATCAACTGGTAACCAGGCCAGAAATCAACTGGTAACCAGACCAGACATCAACCGGTAACCACAACAGATATGGGTTGGTAACCATACCAGACATCAACTGGTAACCAGACCAGAGGTCATTTCTCTCCCCTATAATAAATATCATAATCTTAAGCTGTGAAATTGACAAATAGAATAGTTGAAACTCGCGCCAAACATAATCAAACTAAAATGTTAGGAAAATCTAAAAGTCACACAAAACACATTTATTAGTAGAGTAATTTAGCAGGAACAGCAAATTTTAGGAAAAACATAGCATTCAATTTTTGGCTCCGACTGGTTAAAATATCTCATTATGATTTTGGTTTATTCAGCTCAGTGGTTTTGTTTTGTGCGTCTTTGTCTGTTGTGGCTGAGATATTTACCAAATTTCCAGACTACCAGTCATAAATGGCAAGTGTTCACATTATTGTTTATACAGTGAATTTGATAGAAAATGAAAAAACAGATATATCACTGCAAAGAGACATGATAACTTATTACACAACAGTGGCTGCTTGTCTGGAGCCTTGTAAAAGTAGCAATGAAGAGCACTCCCCACCCGAGTTATTTGTTAGTTCCACACAATCCAATTACCTCCACAAAACCTGAGCTGTTTTACGCATTCGCATTTTATCGGCACGATTTTGTCTGAGATTATAAGTGAGAAGGTTAAGATAAATTGCTTTTTGCAAATAGATTCGTTTCGTGGGCACAAATGCTTAGTGTAGGGTTTCTCAAACTGAGGCCCAGAGCTTCTGGGGGGCAGGCCCTACCACTAGATTCCATAATCAATGAATATATCCATTTATCATAAATTCACCGAACTTGGTTCAATTCTTTGGCTGTAATGCAGTGGTTACTAACCTTTTATGACCATTATTCCAGTGGTATCTACGTTTTTAATTGGTTTGATTGGTAGATTTCAAAACACAATATGTTCAAACAATTCAAATATTGTTTCGTGGCCTAGTTCAGGGCTTCTCAAACTGGGGACTGAACCTCTCAGAGGGCCCCAATGCAAGGTACCTTTAGCAATGACTATATTAAATTATAGTAAATTGACTGTGATTTGTTTAATTCTTCAAATCTATTGCATTTATCTTTCAAATCTTGTTGGCTTTTTATTAAAAGACGTAGACAAGCAGACAACCACAGAAAATGAAAGTTTGAGAATCACTGGCCAAATGGTTGAAGCACCTATATTGGTGACGTATCTTGAAGACATTTTGTTCAACACTGGGTGCTCCGAAGTATGTGTACCAATATGGAGGGAACTAATTTTGTTCGCCTACTCTATATCAAGTTGTGTATAGGGACTGAAACCTATGGGCAGTTGGCTAACAGAGACAGTCCCCGAACTCGTAATAGAACTGAAATAAGGAAAATCGGAATAAAACTACGGCCTGATTCTAACCTGGTACACGCGCTACTGGAGTACCCAATACTGGGCCAAATATTTCAACCAGGGTGTAACAAAGTTACTGCCGAACTAGGAAGATTACTTCCAAATACTAAAGTTCAATACATTACACCGCTGCTGATTAAAAATAAAAATAGTTGTTAGATTTTATGTTGCCCGCCTGGATATTAACATTTCTTTAGTGTTTAGAGATTGCAGAGAGCTGTTGTGCTTGTATCTTAATTATCTTTAGCGTGGAGCATGTTACATCCACGTATTTTCAACACTTTCGCCTTACTATCTGTTATTTTTAGCTCATTGTAAGTAAGCTGGTTATTTTTGAGGTGGGCCGCGAGACATGACAAATTAAAAAAAGGAGGACTAGCTAAAAAAAAACACTGCGCTGGATGATAGTGGCGTTTAAGGCCTGAATAGGCTTTGGTATATGGTTGAGTGCATAGCACAGTCCTTTGTTCAAAGTGTATAATTCTTTCATAAAAAAGAAAATGCGCAAATATTTGAAATAAACTTCTTTAATAAATACAACAGCTTTCAACCAGTCACAGGTGCAGGGGCCATATTGACTAGCATCGTTAATTCATGTCTTTAAAGATTCCGGTCCTTTCAAATGAATGTGTAACTCCTTACGTATCAGTGGCTGCTTGCGCAGAGCCTGGTTCCTAGCAAAAGACGTGAATAAGCAACGTATCAAAAACTAGATTTCATTGCCAATCCTACCTTCTTCCTCTGGCCGAAGCCCCAGAAATACTTGATAGAGAACTAACGGTAGATCCGGGGAAAGGAGGAACAGGAGAGTCCATGAGGAGAGATGAGGCGGGTGGTAGGGGTGTGGCAGGGGATGGAATTAGGGGCGTGCTCGAAGGATGGAATGTGGGCGTCGCCAGAGATGAAAATGAAGTCATGGTAATAGGGTGGGGTGGAGGTGTAGCAGCATATTGCAGAGAACTTGGCTGTGAACGTAAAAGGGGTGTGGCAGGGGAGTGTAGCAGAGGCGTGGCAGGGGAGTGTGATCGATGATTGAATATATTAGGAGTCGAGCGATCTGACAGGTTGATGGAACCTGAAAAACAATAATAAATATGGTAATGAGATTGGAAATACGTCAGTAAAATGATTTAAAGAAATCCTCTTGTGCCACAATGAAATGATTTAAAGAAATCCTCTTGTGCCACAATGTACGGATTGGGCAAGGTTTTTGGACCAGGGGCCGAAAAATTTGCCCACCTAGATTGGCGGGCCATGTATGTGTGACGTATAATGTCACATTTTATGAACAATATTTAGTGTTACAAAAACAAAAGTGGAAAGCAATAAGTCTCATAGCCGAAACTAATTTTAATCGCAATCTCAACAAATTCCTTGAGCTATTTTTTTAGCTGAAACAACAAAATTTGGTTTTAGTTTGGTTGTGGCAGCATCAGTCGGGCTAGATTGAATCACCCAACAGGCTGGATTTGGCCAGCGTAGTTTGCCTATGTCAGTTCTCGAGCTTTGTAGAGCACAGATGATAAAATTATCTTCAGAGCAATATAATCAACCAGCGGGTGTCATCAAATGTAAGTATGGAATATTGAATAATACGGTACAATACACTTCGCAACAATGTGTTGGAAACTCCAAGAAAAATTTCTGGTTATGCCCTGACAAGGAAATGCACCACTCGTACCACACTCTTCCCAGTTGTACAGCTAATGCCGCTTCTGGTTTGGTATCTCAAAAATGTAAGCCCAACTAGACTGGCGGGCTATGTTAGTGTGACGTATTCATTTAGCTGTCAATCTTCACAAATTAGGGTGCGGTAAAGTGATGCAGCAACAGATTATTAGAAAATTGAAACTCTAGGCTGCACGAGGTGAGGAAAGCACGCCTTCGAAACGAGTGAGCAAGTCAGACTTGCTCATGTCAGACTTGTCTTTTTGTCCCGCTTGTACCAGTTACGGCACTCCAGAAATATGTGTACCAATATGGAGGCACCGGTAACTAATTTTGTTCGCCTTCTTTATATCAAGTTGTGTAAAGGGACTGAAACCTATGGACAGGTGGTATATTCACTTGGTTAACACGAACAGTCCCCGAACTCATAATAGAACTAAAATAAGGAAAATCGGAATGAAATTATGGCCTAACCCTAACCTAGTACACATACTTCGGAAGTACCACTTGTACCATTTGAATTATTCATCCATGAACCTACAGACCAACCTTTCTCAGATCCGCTTAGTTTCATTCCGATTGAAGTCTGTGATGGGATTCGAATCCGTTTGTAATCCACGGATTTTGTCCGGTATTGATGATGCGTTTCGATACTTTGATGTGAACTGGTACGCGACGTCGCAGGCCTGAAATGAAATGTTATTCTATATCTACATCTAACACGTCAAGACAAAATATATCACAAAAAATATTTTACACAACCAAAATACAGCTACATAAAAACAGAGTGTGACCAAACAAAACAGACCCCGGTCAATTGGAACTTCTCATAAAGAACATAACTTTTGTGCAAAGCGTCTTGGGTTACTAAAACTTTCTGAGTACAATCATACAAATACAGAAATGCAAATAAAGTTTCCTAGTAACTCATGGGTTCTGTTTTGGGTGACCCTGTATATTAGAAAAACAATCCGACCTTTTAAAATCCAAATCAACACAATAACTAGACAGGGTTACTTCGTTATGGATTTTCTATAGCTAAACTAACAGTCTCGAACGACAGAACTGTTAGTAACTACAATGATGCATTAGTATGGAACAACTATGGCCAGCCATTCCCAATATACAACCTGAAATGGTACCAAGACCAGGTCCCTATGCAATTTGATAAGTAATAATAATAATGACTAAGATCATATGAGGAAATTTAGTAGTACATTACTATCACCCAATTTCTACATCTTAAAACATGATGTCAACTCCCATCTAGTATCCCGAGAAATAACCAAGGAATGGCAGCATCAGTAACATTAAGTTAGAACTAAGTTATTCCGACAAATCACGCCTCAGCGATTCTCACACATCATATTAAAGCCAAACCCTAAACCAAGTCATTACCTTGCACTAGTCGGCCTGGGGAGTGACCTGACGCTTCTTGGCTGTAGATTGTTTGTTGGTGAGGTCACGACCCTTGACCTTTGAACTCTTGAAAATGGTTGCCGTGGTGATATTACCTCTGAAAGGGCCAAAACCTAAAGACAAGTACAACCAAATTCCATAACAATCCTAAAGGAACGATACTTCATTATCCATGCCTATTATTAATATTATCCTAGCCAGGGACTTTCAAGACATCAAACGTTATTTACTAACGCGTAAAGCAAGCATTATAGTTTTTGTATCTCTTCTTAATTCATTGGTCGTTTGTATAATCTTGTTAGAGATAGGTTTCCTTATGAGCAAGTGAACATAACCTTGTTTAAGAAAATTTTGGCAGTTGCTCTTGGCATTTTATGCATAGTTGCTTATAAATATGCTCAAAAGCTGGTAATCCCATCAGATTAGGGTTAGGCCATAACTTGATTCTGATTTTCCTTATTTTAGTTCTTTTACGAGTTCGGGGACTGCCTGTATTAGCAAAGTAAATATACCCTCTGCCGATAGGCTTCAGTCCCTTTACACAACTTTAGTTACCTCCATATTGGTACACATACTTCTGGAGCGCCCAAAAGCCAGTCACCTTTCCTTTCAATTAAGTGATTAAATTTATTGAAATGTGAAAATTTTCTAAGCAAAAAGCAGACAAACCTGTTCTGTAGTTGGAGTGGGAGGAACTGATTGCTGTCGAATGAAACCAGGAGGCCTGTGATAGATAAGAGAGAGAAAATAAATTACTGTGTATTCTCGCATATAAGTCAAGTTCAAAACTAAAAAATTGCCAAACTGAGGGGTCGGCTTATATGTGCATAACTCTGATCGCACTAGAAATTAACTTTATATGTGCGTAACTCTAATTACACTTTGTATCCTGTGGAAAATAGTTACGTTAGAAAGGGTCACTGGGTTTTCTGCCATCGAAGGCAAGTTCACGTAACCCTTGAGAGGTGAAAAAAGGAATTTTTCGAAAATTTATTTTGAAAGTGATATATAAGCTATTGTTTCCCTGTATAGATTCGCAAATTTGAATCTTTTAGGGGTAAAGTGATTTTACAAACCACCGATAATAAATTAAATTACTAGATTTTCAGATTTCGCACATAGTCAAATCAGGATTATTTTTTCAAACAGTAAAAAATAATATTACAAGCACAAATCACACATAGAGGTCATTGCAACCAAAAGATGCAATGGCTTCTTGGTTAATATCAACCATTACAGATTATATGCCGGCTTTAACGTTGCAGAGCCCGTCATACCAGACTCCCAGAGAGTCGCGGAACCCAGTTTAGGAAACCCTGATCTGGGGAATAATTATGTGAAAAATATTGCCTCGCTCCTCGTCATCGTAGGGTTGGTTCACGCAACTGCTGATGATCGGCTACAACTCTCCCTACCCTAACAATGTTTTTTTAATGTCTCAGTGGCTGCTTGAACAGAGCCCCACCCCCTCCAAAGAAGGTAAAATCTAAATTACTGCTAATAGACAAATTTGCCGATAAATTTTTTAACAGACAAACCTTTCTGAAAAAAAGGTGTGAGGCCTCGGATGTCTTGTCACGGTTGGTTGAACAGTGGTCACGTTGAATTGATTCTCAGTCCCTGATTGGTTGAACAATTTTAATCGCTCACTCTGATTGGTCGATATTGAAGATGAATCAGGTGACGGTTCACTGGCAATGGTCCCTGATTCGTGGAATGTTCTGAAACAGAGAGACAAACTAATATGGGCTCAATCGTATGGCGAACCATGGCTTCTCGTCCGATTACCAGTCCATGCCTGGTATAGGATTTGTTAGCCAGAGAGAGATTTATTTTTTCGCCAACCAGAAAAAAATAGAAACAATAAAAAGATATGCGAAGTTTTTCAGTATAGACTGTGAGGAGCGATAGGACCATCATCAGAGTCAGCTCAATGTTTTTTTTTTTTTTTATGCATGGACTTGACGATGGAAGAAGCCGTAACCAACCAGCAGTGGCTTCTTGTATATAGGCTTGTTAGGAAGAATAAAGCACGAGTTTCATATAAAAATAGTAAAACTTACTCAGGTAATAAAGGATTTCTTGGAGTGTTTGGTCGCCGTGGTGACAATGAGTTGTTATTGTTTGAAACATTTTGTTCTTTCCACTGTGAAGATATAAACGAAGGTTTAAACTAAGTGAATTTATGCACAAAAGGACATAATTCATCATCAAATATTTGAAATTCTCGGGCTGAGTTGGCAAGTAAACCGCATCATTCACAACTTCATGAGGCTCAAATAATCAGCATGTGATATTTTAATATTGCTCGAATATTAGTTGGACACAAAATTCTTTTATCATAATGACTTCTAGACTACTTGACCTGTGGCAACCCCTGGAGCCCCATATTACATATAGTGCAACATATTGTGCAATACCTGACCGCCCTGGAGTGTGGATGCAATGATAAAACAGGGGATTATCGAGCCCCAGGCCTGCATGCGATAGTGCAATAGCAGAGTAGATAACAACATATTGCCAGCTAGATAAGAGACAGCTAGTTAGATAAAACCACATACCAGTGTCAAAGGTTGGCCGCTATCAATTGGAACAGATACTGGTCGAGGTCTTTTGTTTAGGTTTCTCGATGCAATGTTGAACAGAGTCCCTGGCTGGATATCTAGAGAAAAGAAGAAAAAAGGCTGAATTGCTGCACAACATACCCAATTTAATTTAGGATTTAATTAGGATTTAAATATTTATCCCGGAGAAGAGAAAAGCCAGTCATACGGCGACGGCGTCTCGTCCGGTTACCATTCCATGCCGAGTATGAGATTAGTTCGCCAGTAATCTCGGAAGCATGGACTTGATGGTGGAGAAAGCTGATAGCTTATGTCACATTCTGAAGTTTGAGGAATTTTGTAATTGTTTGGTCCAAACAATCAAACTATCTAATTGGGTTGTTGTAACTCAGTGTTTCCCAAACATTTTCTTCTACGAGCCAAAATTAAAACGCAAAAAAAGCTAAAAAAATTGTCATTGAGCAACACAATCAAGCATTAGAAATATTATGAGGTAATAAACCTTTCACAGGACCTAAGTAAACAAAAAGATACATTTTTTTCCTAAACTCTATTATTCCTTGAACCATCAAGAACAATAAAGTTCAAGATTCGTCTATGAATGAGGGGTAAACTGAGCGATCTACCCGAGTCAGCGACCCACCCATTCATAAAGCCTTGGCGACCCAAATTTGAGTTGCAGTCAAGGTTTGAGAAATGGTGCCATAACAGAATGATTCAATATTTTGAATGTGTATTGAAAAATATTACTATTTGTGGATTTTCAATTGTTAAGAGTAAATATTATCAAAAAAAAATGCGACAAGAAATAATATGAAGATAATATTATCAATAAATTTATTCTCTTATCTCATTCGTAACAGAAATAAATTTGAGCCTAATTCTAAAATCAGTGGAAATGATGTCACCTTCAAACAATCTAGGCGTGTTGTCTGTTGGATTGGGTTGTACAGCGCTACCACGAGCTACAGTGGGAGGTGTCCGACCTGCGTTATCCATTCCTGAGGGAGGGGGGGTGAAGGTAGTGGGCGATAACGTAGGCCTGGGTTTCTTCTTTGTAAAAACTGACAAACGTCCTGCATGAAAATAAATAATAAATGAATAAAATTAGAATAGGGTTCTCATATTTATTCCGAGGAGAGGAAAGCCGACAAGACGGATTATTCATATGGTGAACTACGACTTCATGACGAGTATTGGTGGGTTAATTTTTAAGGTGGTCTGAACCCAGTTAATAAGGGATTTGTAAAAACGATTTCTGTTATTAATAGAATGAAATGTAATTGAAGAAACTTTCAACTGCTGACATAAATGTTATGCGCTCACGAAGTATGTGCACCAAGATAACGCACATACTTTGGGAGCTCATAGAAAGATTGATCAATGATAAATAATGATTAAATGTGTTTGGGCAATAAGTGTTCAGGAACTTTTGTTGGCTCTAATGTGGCTCGCGAACAATGAAAAAATAATATTGTGGCCCCAGAGGCTGACAATCTTTGACCACCCTGACTTATACAGATGGTTATGTAATGTACAATATATGGCGCTCCAGAAGTATGTATGGAGGTGACTAATTTTCTTCGCCTACTTTACATCAAGTTGAAATAGAAGTAAAATAAGGAATAAAATTATGAACTAACCTTAACATGGTACACACACTACGAGAGTAAGCAATATATTACATCCAAGGTGGGCATTAGGTCTCAACCATTTGTTTTGGTGCACCTCACCAAAACTTTAAAGCACTTAAGAAACATCGGTACTCCCGTAGTATGTGTACCAGGTTAGGGTTAGGCCATTGTTTTATTCCGATTTTCCTTATTTTAGTTCTATTACGAGTTCAAAGACTGTCTGTTTTAGCCAAGTGAATATACCTCCTGCCAATAGGTTTCAGTCCCTTTATACAATTTGATGTGAAATATGCGAACAAAATTAGTTACCTCCATATTGGTACACAGCGAATCTTTGTGATATACTGCTATGAAGTAATACAACAAGGGTACATCAATACCATGGTCGTCTAGTTTTTACGTCAGAAAATTGGTCGATTGACACAACCTTATCTGAAGAAACTCGAACGCTCGACTTACCCCCAAACGGTGTTATAGGGGGGGATTCCAGTCTGGGCCAGGTCCCTCCTGATGAACTTTTGTTTGAAGTCGAATTCTGATTCTTCGGTTTCTTGATCTTTGACCAAATTCTTGAAGCCTATGAAGTAAAAATATGATTTTTTATTTTAATTTGGGGGGAGAGGAAAACCATGAGTTAGGGTGTCGACAAAGCCTCAATTTCCAAATGGTCACAATATCAAATATTCACAGGCAACAGCTTCTGAAACAGGCCCAAATAGGCTCTTTATAAGTGCGAAAATTCAATAAAAGGGGGCTTTCAAATAAGACATTACTATACCAAGCAAGGTTATGACTGTTTTTATCACAAATACTCGTTTTACAGCAAAATGCTCCTGCGGCGAATTTCCCTAAAACAGTATTCTAGTAACGACAGATAAAGAGATAGTATCTTTATGAACGCTAAAATATTTCTAGTAGTTTGACATTGCCCATGCAATTTATTATACCCCGGATCTCACCTTAGGTTTCTTTTTCTCTCTCTTGGCAGATGAACTTCGTTGCACACTGACATTAGAATCGCTAGATTTCTGAGATAATTGACGAGGAAGAATTGAGGCTGAAAATGAAAAAAACAAAATAAAAGCAGGTGGTTTTATGAAAGAGCAGATTCATGGACACAATGGCTAGAGCAGGGGTGGGCAAGGTTTTTGAACCAGGAGCCAAACCTTTTTCCCACCTAGACTGGTGGGCCATGTAAGTTTGACGTAGAGGTTACATTTTTTGAACAATATTTACAGTGTTACAAAGCAAAAATGGAAAACAATGAGCCTCCTATAAAAAAACTAAATTTAATCGCAATCCTAGCAAATTCCTTGAGCTATTTTTAACCAAAACATCAAAATTTGGTTTTAGTTTGGTTGTGGCAGCATCAGGTGGGCAAAATTGAATTACCCAACAAGCAGAATTTGGTCTGCAGGCTGTAGTTTGCCCATGTCAGGGCTAGAGGCTCGGTGGTGTGGCACATCGTGCTGGGCGTTAGGAATACGCTCGACACTGAGCCTCTGATTAACCTGCGTGGGTTTGCAGGTTTGAATCCTGTGGTATTTAATTATGTGCAAGAGAATAACTGCTTCTCACCGTCGTAGAATAGAATAGAATGTGTACCAGGTTGGGGTTAAGCCATAATTTTATTCTAATTCTCTCTATCTTAGTTCTATTACGAGTTCAGGAACTAGCCAAGTGACCCCCGTAGTATTTGTACCTAAAATTATGGCCTAACCCTAACCTGGTACACATACTAAGTTCAGGTGTCCGCCATCTTGGTTCACATACTCCAGGACCACAAATACTGCAAGAGTTGCCTTTTCAAAGTGGCTAGCTTGAGAGTGTAATCCTTGCGAGAGTTAAATACTAAGTTACTCACCTTGAGCAGAGTGGTTTGACTCCGAGTAGGTTGAAGCACTTTGATGTGATTCGCCTCCAGATGACATGCAGTTCTGTGAGGGAAAAAAACAAGGTCTCAGTCTAGGTCACATACTAGGTTCCCAAACTTTTTGATATCGTTACCCCTAAACGTAATTTCCAAAAGCTCAGAGCCCTTTCATCAAAATGAAAATTTTCAGTGCAACGTTGGATCTTAATTAGAAAGGTGGTACTGTTTTTACGTCTGGTTCATCAGCAAAAAGGACAGGGACAACATAAGAAGTTGTTAAGAGAGTTACTGTCTGAATTACCCCACCAAAATAGCAAATTTTGTGAAATCTAAATTTTGTATTTGCTGAAACTGTAAACAAAAAAAACTTTAATTATTAACATAAAACATTTAACAGACGTCATAATTTAAAAAAAAAATAATATAACATGAATTTTGATTACCCACCTCAGTTTAGACCAGAGTTTCCCAACCTTTTTTGGTCGCGGACTATTTTCTCACCGGCGAAAACCTTTGCGAACTCAACGCGCGTTTATTGCAGCCGTACTCCGTGTGAAGAAGTAATAAAACCAAACACAACAGAATTTTAACGAATTTCAAACCGGAAATTCGCCGCAATTACGCGTTTGTTAAAAGAGTCGACTTTTTAGCGAATAAATAGCCTTTTCTGTCGCACAATATTCAATCCATGACAACGACTAGAATTTAAAATGTCTTTCTATTTTAATTTAATTGTGTTCGTAGTCACTCGCGGTTGCGTCGACTTATGACAAGATGAAAGCATCTCTTCTTTAAAATGCCACGGCAAAGTAGCACCCGAATTTGCAATGTCTTAAAACGCGTTTTTAATCGGCCGCAGGCCATCATGAAACAAAACCTATGATGTTCTCCGTTCTTCTATTTTTAGTGTTCTGTATTGCGCTTTTAAATTTAGAAAATTTAGGTCGCCACTAATGACAACAACAAAGAATAAAATTATTTCTCGTTGTTCGAGCTCGCGAGAAACACCACTTAGGTATCTATCATCGAGTGTGCCGACTCGTGTTTTCATCGGATATTCGCAAGTGAGTTGTGAAATCCAATCGATGATTAAGCGACGCGACGCGCAAGTGACCTGATGCGTCACCTGTTACTAAATTTTCGAATAGTAAATTGCTATTCTAATAGGTGAATTTTAGAATATATGCCCAGTCCTACTCAGTATCCAGTAATTATTGACTTGATTAATGTTATGTGAATAAACTTGATTTTTATGTCCTATGTAAATCCTAACGTAAATCGTAACTTGGCTGATGGTAAAATTTCACAAAAACGTTTGCGGCCCTCAGTGAAATTCTGGCTTGTTGCGGACTCATTCAAACGGACTCATTTGAGTCCGCGGACTCGGGTTGGGAAACACTGGTTTAGACTATTCTGAATAAAAAAAGGGCAGAATGAATTATCAAGGAACTTACACTCGGTGTGTTAGCGTGCTGTGCGTTCCTCATCGGTGTGATTGTGTCTTCGGTGGACCAGAAATCCTCAACAGGATTCGACTAAAATAGAAAATTATAGAAATAGACAAAATTTTAAAAATCTTACTCAGCGCAGAGAGATTGTTAATTGCTTTTCAGGCCAAAATTATCTAGATCAACTAAAATGGGGGTCACAACCACCTGGTGGGTTCGCGGAAGGTCTCAGTGGGGGTCGCAGTGAAATCTATTTCGACACTGACTTATGTTTAAACAAAATATCGATCAAATTTGAAAAATTGGAACCAATACCGAGACCCACCATCGCCTAAGGTTTTCACCGATCACCGATTTTTTGGCGATCCTAAAGTATGTGAACTAAGATGGCAGACACCGGAACGTAGTATGTGCACCAGGTTAGGGTTAGGCCATAATTTGAGGTGCAAATACTACGAGAGTCACTTGGCTAGTCCCCGAACTTGTAATAAAACTAAAATAATAAAATCGGAATAAAATTAGGGCCTGACCCTAACCTGGTACACATACTACGTTACGGCGTCCGTCATCTTAGTTCACATACTTCGGGAAAGCAATTTTTGTTCAGAGCAGAAATGCCTCAATACAAAACTACTCACCAGGCTCTTTCTACTTTTCATTCTCAGCGTTTGAGAAGTTTGGCACTCGGCATCGGCAGTTGAGATTTGTTTGTTTAATATGTTTTGCCTGGATGTATAAACTGTTGAGTCAGCGTTAGGTTGCTCTGCAAATATTGCTGAATCATTGTTTTGTTGCTGGGCAAAAACACCCGACTCGGCATTTGGTCTTGAAGCGAAAACTGCCGAGTCAACAGAGGATGGACCATAGTCTCCATTCAGACTGTTTTCATGGGTATGGTCACGGCTGCTTTGAGACTCGTTTGGTCGGCTATAGTCTCCATTCAAACTTAAGTTATTGTTACGACTGCCTTGAGAATCGCTCGTCAGTGGAAGGGGTGAACTTGACCTCATGACCTTGATCTTGCAGGGAATTTGCAGAATTCGGGGATGAGTCGTTGCAACTGCGATGCATTTCCAGCGTCCACCGATGTTATCATTTATCGAAACGACTCTATCACCGATCGTAATTCCACGACACGCACTTCGCGTCACAAATAATCCTGTATCTAAGTTTATGTCAGGTTGTCGTGGCAAACTGATACTGAAATGTTCGTCAGCCTTCTTGACATGCCCACCGCCCTCGAGTGTTGAGATTTCTTCGCTGCCCCCATTCCCCCGCATCGATAGCGGAATCGTGACTGTCTGTATTATCTCGTTTGCTTCCAGTAGTTGATCCGCGTATCCCAACTCTCCGAGGCTTCAGTTCTCTCAATTCTTTTGAAACATTTTTCTTCAATTCTTTGGTGATGTCGTGTTCCTAAGAATATTTGGAAAATAGTAAAATTAAAAAGATGTTGGAATAAAAAAATGTACTCTTTCGACACTCACAGTACTTCACACTTGTAAGTGTCTAAAAACCTTTTAAGGTCTCTCGGGACTCCGGTCACACAATTTGACAACCACTAGTGCAGGGCTGGACAAGTTGAGGCCCGTGGCAACGTTTCATCCGGCCCGCAAGCAGATTTCTAGATTCACACTTTTGTTTTTATTTATAACTAAAATATAGTTCTAATTGTAAAATTTATTATTGGTATAAAAACAGTGTTTTATAGTTCATGCTGCTATTTGTAGTCAACTTTGTGGAAATGATCAGCAAGAACACGCTCGTATGATTTTGAAACCTGCTCTGAGTCGTGTGCTAACACAGCAGGATATCTTTAGGCTAGTTAGCTCTGCGCTACCCAGAATTTTAAATATTGTAAATATGTCTGTGAGTGATCCTGACATAGGCTTCAAGAACTTGTTGAAACACATCAAAAAATACACTTATCTCATTAATTGCAGCATTTGTGTTAAGCTTGTTTTATTTAAGTATGTCTTAAAATACATTAAAACGCGCAATGTAGATAGATTGCACCTAATCCGGCCCGCCACTGCATTTTGAATTTGCAATGTGGATTCATAGCAAAAATAATCACCAAGCTTGCACTAGAGGGAGTCTATACTCGCACACATGAACACTAGAGGAGTTGATACCACCTTTATCTCGGCTTCTAATTGTTTCATTATTCTTTCTCTTTCCTCCGCAAGTTGATCATATGTCTTCTTAATCTCGTCCCTCTCACATCTCATTTTTTCCCGCTCACCGAACGCCATGTCTCGATTTCTGAAGATTCAAACAAATTCGTTACCCGACAAAGTGATGTCTATATGGGAACAAGGCCCAACTTTTCATTACACAGTCATTACTCATTACACAGTTCAATATTAAGTAGTACGACTCGGTGGTGTGGCACATCGTGCTGAACGTTAGGAATACGCTCACCATCGCACCCCTGATTACCCTTCGTGGGTTCGAATGTTCGAATTCCATGCAGGGATAATTATGTGCGAGAGGATTGCTGTACTTCTCACCGCCGTTGGATGGTTCACGTAACCGCTGGCCGGTTACTGCTTCCTCCACCATCAAGTCCATGCTTCCAAAAACAATCCCATACCCGACATGTAATGGTAACCGGACGAGAGGCCAGGGTTCGCCGTATGGTTAAGTCGTCTTATCAACTTTCCTCTCCCCCTGGGATAAAAATGTAAATGTATCCTAGTACCTCTAGGTGCGAAAAGATTGTTGTCCTGATGTAAGGCGGTTCATGTAATCGCTGGTCAGTTACAGATTCCTCCACCATCAAGTGCATTTGAAAATAAATGATTGGCCACTAATGCCATACCTGACAGGGTGTAATAAGGGAAAGGAATGCTTCGTTTCACCATAAAGTCAGACTGTCGCATCAAATTTCGTCTCCCCTGGATCAGTGCAAAAATCCTATAAACTCATCACCCACCTTGTGGCATCTCTGGCTTCGTTATTTGCGTCTCTTAATTCCCCGTTCAAAGCTTCAATCTTAGCGCTCAGGGCCTCGTTTTCGGCCCTCAGTTTCACTATTGTATCATTCGCAAGTTCTTGGGCTTTCCGAGCGGTGTACGCTTCATGTAACTGCGCTTCGTATTGTCCAAGGCTTGCTTCCGTTCTCGCTGAGCAACGAATAATTCTTCCCGAAGGGCAAGTTGGCTGGTTGCCGATGTCGTCTGGAAAGTAGATGAGATTGAAATAATTAGATTTTTTCATTAAAGTTTTGGTACTCCTGAAGTATGTGTACTAGGTTAGGGTTAGGTATTATCATGGCCTAACTAGGTTAACATTCAATTTATTTTTGTTGGTTTCGGCAACAAAAGTGGTAACCAGTAGTTCATTTCAAGCCCACACAGACCACAGTCAATAGAACTCATGTAAAGCAGCACTTTGTGCAATTCCACACTCGAACCCTTTATAAAACAACAATCAAAATGTCACACAACCTGTTGAGTTCCCTGGTTCGTTTCAAAGTGTTGAAGCCTGGGCAAGTAAGCGTTCCTGTCATCCAGAATTAATTTTTCTCATTCACGCTTTCAGCTCTGAAAGATAAATATATCAGAATTTTTAGGTACTCCGTAGTATATGTACCAGCAGGCGCGCAGCCAGGATTTTCAAAAAGGGGGGGTTTCATAATCATAAATTCCCATTGCGGTCTGTAACAGTCTCGCAATTACGCGCTCCTTAAAGGACGTCTTTTCAGTGTGTAATGATTATTCTTGTGTCGCGTGAAATATTCAATCTCTGACAAACTACAAAATCTAAAATGTCTTTATATATTGTTTAATTGTGTCCAACATAAACTCGCGGTTGCTTCTTCTTACGTCAAAATTAAAAATTAAACATTCTCTGAAATGCCACGGCGATCGAGTGGACATAAAAAATGAGATAAACCGGTGTATTTAATTTAAATACGTATTTTGGAATCTTGCCAACTCGTTATCGCCGTTAGAAAAATCTCAATAACTGATATAAAATCCCGAAAAGTACAATTTTATTTCGTTACAATTGAAAATGCATATGAAGTTATATCGTTGAATCAAAAATACATAATCATCGCCGCGATTACGCCACTCGTTGAAAGAGCGGACGTTTACAACGAAAAATGATTTTTCTGTTGTGCAAAGTAATCAATTCGTGACCGATAAGGGCATATTTAAAATGTCTTGCTTTATTAATTTAATTGTCTTCAATTTAACCATTTAATTGTCTTCAATTTAACCAGCGTTTGCGTCGACAAAACAAAACAATTTTTTACAATTCACAATTTTAAAATACCTCGGCCATTTGCCGACATAAAAATAAAAATTTGTGGTAACTGCCCCGTCGCCTATCATATATTGTTTTGATCCGTATTTTTTCTATTTTGCAAATTCGACAAAATTGAGATGTGCTTGTAACATTGACTCCGTTCAATCGCAATGCTGACACTCCAATTATTTTTAAATATAAAACCTCCAGAAAAATCCGTAAATCTGCTGTAAATTCTCATGGAAGTAAAATTTATTTCAGTACATTAAAAATTGATGGATATACTTTGGATTAATTATCTTATATATCATCACAAACCGGGAAAAAAATCGCGTTTTCAACCTTGTTTAATGATAACACGACAATTTTCTACGACAATTTTAAAGTAATGGATAAAAGGCAAATCCCACCCACAATTAACCGTGTTTCGATTTTAGTGACGGTATGTCCCTAAACGGCAACCAAACATAATGTGCGCCGTAGGCACACGAAATTTTGCGATTTTGCGACTAGAAAAGCGTTTTTGGACTGTCGCGGGACTCATCAAAACTTATATTGTTTACGGTTTTATTTTCAGTATTTAAAATTGCCGCTTTTTAATCAAATTTAGATCGCGGTTTTACTCCTTCTTTTGTCTTTAGAACCTCGCCACCGATGAACGACCAATAACTCACGAATTCACAATTCCGTGCAAAGTACCAAAAATAAAATAATTATCATGTTTATCGTGGCACAAATTTATAATTTAGAAAGAATAAAAACCGACGTAAGGGCGATGAAAACATGGGCGATTTTAGCAGAAGGCAATTGCACGCTTTTTCAGTTTTCACATTTCCGTGCGGGTACGAAAATAAAATAATTATTATTGTTCCCGCGGCACAAATTTGTGATTTTAAAGAGAATAAACAAGAGAATCTGGTGCACCGGTTTTTTAACCAAGGACGTATGCACCCCTTTTAGTTCCTAGGCAAAGCAAAAATGCCGAATTGTGGGGTTGACACAGTCGTTAGAGATGTAACACTGTGGAAACAACAGCGCTATAACTCAGGCACTTATTTATTAGCCTACCGGATTTTACTATTTGCAGTGTTTGTAGTTGGGTAAAAACGGATGTTTTGTTACTATAATTTAGTGAAGCGTCACGGGCCTGATTATAGTGCTTCGGATCCGGCCCGCGGGCCGTAGGTTGCCGAACCCTGAGTTATTGGTTTCCAATGCATGGAATTAATGGTGTTTTTTTCATCTCCACATACTTTGCTTCATCAAATTAATTTGTGTCAGGTGACGCTTTTACTTTATCATCCAATATAGCATTTGACAAATTTTTTTCCTTGGCGCCAAATTATCAGGAAAAATACTCACAGCGCACTTACACAAAAAATATGCTGCTTTCAAATAAAATTTTGTGATCGTTAATGTGGAAACCTCTGATCTAATGTATTTCAAAAAACTTCAAATTCTGGATATTTTTCATATCAAATTTTACCTTGAGGATATGATAAGTTCTTGGTCACTTTCTGAATGCAGCCCACCCTTGGGGTTAAAATGAGTAAAATCACAAGTACTCACAATTGTCTGTTGACATCACTTATATCGTCAGTAAGTTTCTGAATCTCCTTATGTACGGCATCACGTTCGCTCATCACCAATGCATACTCTCGCTTGACTAACGTACGCTCCTCCCTCACTCTATGAAGATCTCGCTAGAAGAGATATTAAAAACAATTTTTAACATGTCAAAATAGCATTCAAGAATGTTTGGTTGAAACTCATTATTCGAAAACGAGAACTAAATAGGTCGAGAACAATATTCATACGTTCCTCTCTCACTCCGTGAAAATCTCGCAGTGAATTCAAACAGTTTTAATTTTGATTTGATAATTCATTATTCAGAGAACTGAATAGAACTGGAATCATGATTCGAAATTTGAAAATATGATAAATTTAATTTGGGTCAAGGAATTTTAAACATTTTTGAACATGAAAGAAATAAAATTGGAAAGAAATTGAGGTATTCAAATATATGACCCCGAATAACTAAAATTGAATATCGTATTTGCTCGTTTTGTAGCCCGGGCCCATATTTTTTTCAACCAACTCACTAACCGGGCCCTTATTCAAACCGGTCTTTATTTAAGCACAGACGCTTGTTATTTTCGATCGTTACAATAATTAATATATTGTTATTTCCAGTTCTCAAGTATGATTTAAACGAGAATAACCTAAATTATGACTTTTTCAACGCACCGCAGGTACAAATCCGCAAAAGAAGAAAAGTTTTGTGACGCCCTACCAATATTGAAACAACGCACTTGGGTGTCGCGACGCCCAGTTTGAGAACCACGGTGTTACGTAATCAATGCTATCTGTTATGTAATTGGACGCCTAAGGCGTGAGTGTTATCTACCAGCGCCTAAAATTCAACAGCGTTGTGACAAAAGTGCTTCTTATTTCAGATTTTGCATGGGGCGGGTATTCAAGCACCGGCCCTTATTTATTTTTATGTTCTGTTCACACAGGCGGATATTCAAACGGGTCCTTAATCAAGATCGGGCGGTAAAACGAGCATATACAGTAATTAAGAAAACAAATTTAATTTTAAGCAAAGTGAGGTTTTGGTTGCATTTTCGAATCTAATCTACTGAATTCCATGCATCAATAACAAGTCCCAGAAAATTTAAATGTTCAAGTCACAAGTGAAGTCAAGTCCATAACAATGAAATGGGCGAATATGACTTGATAAATAAAAATTTAGGATAAGATGGACATGTTTATCCCAGGCAGATGATGTGCCTCACCGCCGAGCCAACTTCCATCTCTTATTTAACTAGTCCCTTATTTTTCACCGGTCCTGACCATAACAAAAACTAACCTGCAACATGTCATTCTTCTCATTCAGACTTTGAAATTTCCGGGAGAGAAGTTCATGATCACTCACTGAAAAGATAATTCGGAAAGTATAAAACAAAGGCATTTTATTGTAACCAGCAGTTATGGTTACACAAGAGTTTCCCAAAGTACCTTGGCTCTCAAACGGCACATGGAATGGTTCTCTGATTGCACAAGTGATAACTTTAAGGACCTGGTGTCATTCGAGATGACCAAACTAATTAAATGTGATTTGTTCAATTCTTTGACTGTATTGAGTTTATTCGTTTATTTCAATTGTTGGCTTTATATTATTTAAACATGGCACATAAACTAACTGATAGTTATATGCTAAAATAAAGATAGGTATTTCCATAGAAGAGCAAGGTTGAGAGTCTCTGAAAGCGAAAGCACAAAAAGTTGCCTTCTTATAATTTTCTTATAAGGATAGGATTGTGATAGGATTTAAATATTTATCCCGAAGTAGGACAAAGTCGATAAGACAGCTTAACCATATGGTGATCCACAGCCTTTCGTCTGGTTATAAGTCCGTGTCGGGTATGGGATTAGTTAGTTAGTTATTTGTTTCAGTTGCACGAACTTGATGGTGAAGGAAGCTAACTAACCGGCGGTTACGTGAACCACCATACATCGGCAATTCTCTCGCACATAACTATCTCCCACAAGATTCAAACCTGCGAACTCACAAAGGGTGATCAAGGTGCGGTGACGAGCGTAGACTAATCCGCATTAACCATTTAATTCAATACACACTAGGTGGGGTGATGGGCACAGGATTTAAACCAGATATGAATGTCAACATGGCCAATACGAACCACGGAACCTCAGCTTTAACAACTAAGCCATCTTTTACCTATATTATTACATCTCATTCTTGCATCACTTAATTCAGCAACGTAGGCATCAAGTTGATTCTGAGTTTCCTTCCTTGATTTGGCTTCCTGGGTCAAAGTTTGCTGGAGTCCATCATGGTGAGTTTTCAAGTCTTCATACCTGGGAATCCAGAAGCGTTTATTTTTTATTAGGAATAATCAATCATAATTAGTTTGTTTTCCATCCTGATGGAAATGGACTGAACTGCTTTAAATCTATCGTCAATGAGTTTTCCTGAAAAGCATTTTGCTTCTATAATTCTTTAGTTTCATTATCATTAATGATACGCCAACTTCTCACAGACAGATAAGTCTTCTCTACTTGTGAGTTTGTGTGACCTCACTTTGAGCGAGTTTATTAATAAAATAATGCCATTTCGGGGTAATTTGTTTCTGAATAGCGAGGCCAAAATGAGGTTATTCAAATATGATAACAGCAGAATATAGGTTCCCAACTTAAACAATGCTGGAATATAAATGTACCGCCAATAAAAGGAAATATAATAAAGGGACACCCAGAGACTGGAATTAATTGAATGGCATCACACTTTTTACATACATGGTGGTGTGGTATTTGAAGTTATCATCAGCATAGACAATGAACAATGTGATGCTAACACAAAGCTTCTTAATAACCTTTTAAGCTGGCACCCCTTTAAATAAACTGAAATTGTCCGCAACCCTTCTTAAGCCTGCCTTGTTATGAGGGAGCGCCACTTCTCTGATCCTATGTATTCTCTCAAAATCGTGAGATTTATATTTTGCACTAGTTTTAATAATTGAGTTTCAAGACGAAAGTCTATAAAACTACAATAAATTTTTTTTTTTTGTGAAATTAGTTTTTTTTTTCCTTGCGAACCCTAAAACTTGTGGCCCTCACCTTTGTGAGGTTGTGCCCCCCAGTTTAGGAAGCCATGTGCTAACACATGTGTCGAACCGGCCCACGAGCAATTGACCACACACGAAACCAACATACCTTCCTAGCATAGTCTCGTACATCTTGTGCAGTATCGGGCCACCTCCCCCTCCCACTAGGAGGTTGCGACGCAACATCGCAAGTTCTTGCTGATCGCTCGCATTTTGACGCATCAGGTGGTCTGATTCGGCCTGTATAAAAAGAATTGTAAGATTGCATCTTAATACAACCAAATACCCAATGAATGCAACAAGAACAGAGATGCATCTTAATACAACCAAATACTCAATGAATGCAACAAGAACAGAGATGCATGTTAATACAACCAATGACACTTACCTTAGACTGAGCCAGTTGTTCAGAAACTTGGTCGAGTTTATTTGACATTGTTTTGAATTCTTCGTTCAATAAATCTCGTTCACATGATAGCGTTTCTAAGTTCTGTAACAACCGACCCGTATCGACCTCTCCAATGACCTCTGACCTCCGTGATTCATCTGGAATAAAAAGCAAAAAAAAATTGAAACCAAAATTATCATCATAAACATTATTGATATGCAGGGTGTCTCAGAAGTAAGTATACACTTTTAATTTTGATTTGCATTTCAAGTTACCGGTACTCATCATAGATCGTTCATAACTTCTGAAAACATAGTATGGATAAGTAGTGAAATTTAAGTATTGTTTGCATTTTCTATCAACCCACGTGGTCTTCCTGATATTTGTGCATCAACTACACATCCAGTTTTCATAAATTTACGATGAATTGCATGAATTGGTCGCCGTACAGGAGTCGAATTAATTCCAAATTTAGTGTTTAATATGCACCTCATTTCTTGGATTAATCTTTTCTCGCATTCTGTGGGTTGATGAAAAATTCAAACAATACCTAAAAATTTTACTACTTATACATACCATGTTTTCAGAAGAAATGAACGATTTATGACGAGTACTTGAAATGGTAATCCAGATTAAAAGTTTATACTTACTATTGGAACACCCTGTATTTATGGGCCTTTCGATCCGAACAAGGCTCTGTACAAGTCTCGCGCCTCAAAAATAACTAGTTAACAATAAGCTACAAATACCAGATAGTAAGGCGAAATGGTGTTTATCCAAAGAACACATTGAAATACTGGGATGGAGTCACAATCCCTATAAACAAAAAAAAGATGAAAATATCCAAAATAACGCAGGAAAGATCAAATCTAACAATTATTTTCATTTTTAACTAGCTTCACGCCCCCTTAAAAAATGTCTATGCCCTCCTAGTGGGGCTTCCCTCCCCCCCGTCCCCTTCGAAAACCAATGGATTAAAACCTGTAACCTTCGATTCCACCATAGTTTAGTCGAACTGAAAGGCGAGACCCACTCCCTTACGGCTTCCTCCACCATCAAGACCATGCTTCCGAAAAACAAATAACTAATCCCATACCCGACATGGACTGGTAACCGACGAGAGGCCGTGGTTAACCATGTGGTTAAGCCGTCTTATCGACTTTCCTCTCTCTGGGATAATTATGTAAATCTTATTCTAACCTTTTTTGTTAAATTCCTCCTATTGCCTATTTTTAAACTTTTCATTCCTTCATTATCATAATGCATAAAAACTACTTTAATTGTTCAATCTTCAACAGACCAAGCTGAACATGCAAGTCGTACTCTGGCTTTTGGCATAGTTTAAAAGGTTTATATTTGTGTATAAATATGTATTAGTACTACAACTAAACAATTTGAGTAAAACTATAGCAAATACTAAATACTGTATTTTTAGAAAAAAATTTCTCGGGCAGAATTGCTCCGCACTGATATGTATCGACCGTATTTATTGAACTTAGATTAGTATTGAAACGAAAAATAATGTATTCCCAATTCTAATGACTCTATAGAGTTATAATTCTAGAACAGCGTGTGGGCAACCCATGACCCCTGAGTCAAACTTAGCACGCAAGCACAGCTATCCGGCATGAGAGGGAGGCCTCAGAAACAAGGTCCTTCATTTTAAAATAAAAGTTTCCATACTCGGTATTATCTCAGTGTTGGTTTCTTCATTCCCGTTTGTTAACAATCCGTTATTTAGTTTAATTAAACACCTTTTTCCTTTTATGACATATGGCAACAAAGAAATATGTCATGATGTAACAACTAGCTAAACTTTTAACCAGCGGTTTCCAACCATGGGCCCTCGAACCCCCAAGGGGGCCACAAAGCAATTGAAAGGGGGCCACAATGTCTAGCGCAAAACTGATTTTACTTCTCACTTTTCAAAAAAACTCCCCATTCTTCCTAACTCATTGCTTGATAAGGTTATTTCCCAGAGTTTTTCGCTATTTTGTGCATGAATAATTTGAACATAATAATGAATTTGGAATCTACAATCAAAATCTCACTATAAATACCACTGGAATGATAAACAGGGGGCCATGAGTGCTAAAAGCCTCCGAAAAGGAGCCACAAGCCATAAAAGTTTGAGGACCGCTGCTCTGACACTTCAAAAATTTTTGCCAAGAGAAGCGCAGTATACATTTGGCTTTCATAGTATAGTTCATCTGTGCTACTTTATTTTATTTCTGCTCTGTCAGCGATAATGCAGCAGCAGAAGTCTCACTGATAATAAGTTGGATTTGAATGTTAACAAGCAGAACCGCAGGACTATACTGGCAGAATCCTAAAACAGTATTCTTCAACCGGGTATACCCAAGTGTATACCAGACCAAAAGTAGGGTATACGACTGATAAATGGTATACGAAGGGTGTACAGCCTAAGTCAGGGATTTCAAACTATAATAAAATAAATTATATAGTAATCAATCGGAGACAACAATGCAAACGCGGCGCACATAAAATATAAAATGCCATTTACACAAAGAACTGACACATTGTTACATCACAAATTACATAGATAATGCAGGCGCGTGCCTGGGTGGATGATTTCGACATACACGACGCTTCATTTACGTTGAACATTATTCTCATTGACACTAGAGCTGTAAGTCAAATTTACACCGTTTACAACTTGCGAAGAGTAGCCCATTAGATTGCATGGTGATATTGCAGTACCATCAGTTTTTTTTTTACAATCTATGCTTAAACTTTAATGTTTATTTAACATTGCGCTTTGTAAGGTATACAAAGTCATTGAAAAATTGTGAAAAGTATATCACGATAAAAAAGGTTGAAGAACACTTTCCTAAAGACCCTGGTTGAAATTCACTGCTCTACAACATAACACACCACACTAGCAATCATACAGACTACACAGACTACACAATAGACGCTCACGAAACAAACATCACACTCAGACGCCCTTTCAACTTGAGTACACACTACACTTTGTGATGTCATAGAATAAAGCGTCACTTGCTTTTATTAAACACTTGAACGAGTTCAAAAACATATTGTTAGAACATAATCGAAAAATCAATTTTTCAGACAAAAAGTAAATTTAGTCTGTTAAGTAAAGTCTGTCCTTCGTGGATCAATACTTTCTCATTTGTGAGGATATGATGTATTTAATATCTACGACCCATATTCTTCTTTTTTATGATAACAGTATAATGTATAACAACTCGTGCAGTATGGTCTGCCCAATAGACACAGGGCAGCTCAAAAAACACAACCAAGGTCATTTGTAACATATTCTAAAGAGAAAAAAACTTTTGTACAGAGCGTCTCAGATTATTGACACTTTTGGGTACTATTATTAACTAACCATCAAGTATTATGTGTGTATATTGACGGTACCATCAACCTTCATAACTACAATATCGTTTAGAAACCGAAGACTTATCGATCGAAGGTTAGGGGATCCCCCAAAACAGTGGTCTTATTATTGGCGTATTGGTAACTAATTCATTCTTTATAATAAATAACATATTTTGGGAAAGTAAACCACCGGTATTATTTAATCATACGCATTAATAAGTTCAAGTGTTAAATAAACTTTCATCATTTTAATCGTGATGATTAAAAAATTCTGTGTTTTTGATCCCCCTGTACTTCAACACTAATCCACTTCCCAAACTTCAAAATCAAACTTCTCTATATTCTGTCAGATAATCAATATTGGATAAAGGTTAATGGAGCGGAACGACAGAATTGAGGGCTTAAAAGAGAAAATCAATAATCATGGACAGGTGTGAGTACTTAAGTTTTCATTGTTTATAATAGGATTAGGATTTTATATTTATCCTGGCAGAGGAAAGGCGATGAGACAGCTTGATCATAGGATCACCCCAAATTTACACAAGCAGGATATGCCCCAAGCCAGCATTCACAATTTCACTATTTCGTCAAGGAAAAAAGCAATTTTTGCCATGAACAGTTTAGCAAACCAAGGTTTCTCTCAAATTTACACAAGCTGATATCTCAAGTCCCCCATTCACAATTCCGATGCCTTTTAGTCTATAATTAGCCCGGTATCAGATGTTTCATTCCACACCTCGGCCCCGTGTCTGGTTACCTCACAATGTTTTGTTATCGATGTAAGATGATACTGCATGAATCTAATCATAGAAAAAGTCTTATTCAATGCTTTTTTACAACAATTATTCAAGCCTTGCGCTCTAAACAAGGCTCAGTACAAGAAGCCGTCGATATTATCAAACCCTAGATAGCGATCGGAGACCGCTGACTTATCGATCGTTCGCAGCGACGAAAGTTAGGGGGTTCCCCAAAAGAGAAACTGTGGTTTTGATTCTTTCGCTTTGACTCAATAGCGACACCGCGTATCCGATCACTAATTAATTAATAACTCGCTAATTATACGACATAATTCATCCAATATCAATAAGATCCTGGTCCGAGATATGATGAATGCACATGCAAAATTTGGAGCAGATTCAACCCAGCTTTCGTGAAATATCGCCTAACATACGAAAGTGTCTAACAGACAAACAAACAGACAAATACCTATCAACATACTTATCGATCGAGAACGATAAGTAATCAGGTGATACTGTTCATGTCCTCCACTCTGAACAAGGCCATGTACCATGGGTCGGCAACCCATAGGATTGAAAGAGGCATCTGGCCTACTTTATGTCAAAATAAAACCGACTCGCAGACGCAGGTTGCTGCTTAAGTACGAGAATTACAAAATAATTTGTTAAAAAACGCTCCATTATCGCTTAAAAATTGCCAAATTACTTCTTTGGGGGTAATTACCCCCACTGTTCAGTGGGAACCACTGTTCTAAAAGAAAGGCATTAAAAATGTTGTATAAAAGGAACTGGTACCTCGTTTAAAATATTCAAATTGCGATGATATGCTACTCAAGTGTTCAAATATGAGCCAGAATTAACTTATACGAAACATATAACACAGCGAAACTACTGTATCAGAGGAGGTAGAACATATTGTTTATTCTGTCATAAAGTTGTTTGCTGTGTTATCTGTGATCAAACAATGGTATTTAATTTTGTCTGATGACAGTTCGACACAATGATAAAGTGATCTCTGTTACTGAGTTTTGTGGAGGCAAACTTATCGACCTGTTTTTTTTAGGCCTGAGGAGTACGGGAATATTTACAAGTCGAACAAGACTCCCTACCTGAAAAACATTCGACTCTGGTCTCTGAAAAAATCGAATGTTAATGAAAAAAAATTGAAAAAGCCTCCTTTGAAAGACTTTTTAGAATGCCTATTGAAGTAAATTTTATGCTTTTTGAGTTTCTTTAAAACTCTTTTCCATAACATTTTGTGTGATTCATATTGGTACGACTACGATGCAAGGATACTTTAGCAAAAGTAAATATAATTAGCCCATGTGATTCAAGAGCCTTGTTACACACTGACAAATATTTCGTATTGCATCTGCATGTCACTGACTTCTCTAGTCATATTCCAACTCAAAATGAAAATGCAGCATTGGCACATCTATGTTAGAATAATATTATATTCTGACCGGTCGCGCATCATTGATTTTTAATGGTCAGAAACATTCTGACCAGTCGTGCCTCACTGATTACCACACATATTCCAACTAAAAAAAAGCAGAATTGGAGATTCTGTGTTAGAATAATGATATTCTGACCAGTCATGCATCAATGATCTCCAATCAGACTCAACACTAAAAAGAAATTACAGCATTGGCAGCCCTAAGTTACGATTGAATTAATCTGGGCAGTCATGCATCATTGATTTTTAATGATAATAAATCCTTGCTACAGGCAATATTGATACCACTTGAACAATGAAGAGCCCTTGAAAGGTAAGTCAAAGGGACTGCTATGACTAAGTGACGCCAAATATGAATTGCATATCTAAATAGATAGAATTTATATTCTTAATTCTCAATTTTAGGAAAAATTCAAAATAATTAAAATTGAAAAATATTTATTATGAATTCCGTTAAAACAGCTCAATCATTTGGTTACAAGTACACAAGATAAGTTGCCAAATTTTGCACATATTGAGTGCAGGATATGATGAATCAATGTTATCTTAAAAATATTATGCTATCAAACAAAAGCATAATACCAAAGGGAGTTCTCTCAAAATTCATTTGAAAAAAACACAAAATCTAAACCTGAATTCACAAAACTGCTATTTTTATCAATAGTGCTCAATTCAATAGAATGAAAATAACACTTACAGACAACTAAATCTAACTTTATCTAATCTAGTCTAAAGTTCACCAAAAGCAACATGAACTCGCCGCACTCTACAAAATACATCGTGCGTGACTAAACTAAAAGTATAATAAGATATGAACCTGTGTGAACTCTCTCGGAACAATAACAAGTTTCATTTTGTAGGAAAATATATGGTTTCAGTATCTTCTGGCATTTTAAAGGGTGCTTGTAACTTTGCTCAATAATGAGTCTCCTCTACTTCTGAGTGAGTGCCCATAACTTTGCTCTGAGACGAGTCTCATTTACTACTGGGTGAGTTCCTGAACTGGGTAAGTTATCTTTACTTCTGTGGGAGTGTCAATAACTTAGCTTCCTATTTAACTGTACGTTATGCACACCAACACACTTTCTTATCTTATCGGTATCTCTTGACAATATATTGGTCTCCTGTGACTTTGCAGAGATGCTATATCCTTTACTTCTGAGTGAGTGCCCGTAACTTTACTCTAAGTTGAATATCCTTTAGCCACTTCTATTTTCAAGTGAGCACATGATCTTGCCCCGACAAAATCTTTTAAAAACAATAAAAAATAAATAAAAAGGCTCAATAATCTTTAATTGGATCCCAATCATAAACACCATATTATTTATGATCGATAAAGTTTGAACGTATAACATTACAAATTTTAATCTATTGAGGTTCTTCAATGGCTTGAGCGGTTTGTAGAGATGTGATATATATTTAAAAACTATTTAGATTCAAAATTGATACTTTTGAATATGAAATATCGTTATTGAGTATATTATAAAACGTCATCTTGAACAGATAAAATCTTCATGAAGTAATATATTTACCAAATCTAATAATTAATTTCAAACCTCATTTTTGGAACATATCGAATATTCCATTAGCCTACATTAATATTTCATAACCTGAATCCTTTTCATTGAATTTGATTAAATCTTGTCATGAAATAAAATTTATAAAAATAATCTTCTTCCACAAAATAAGTATATTAGTGCGCTTAGATCAGTGGTTTTCAACCCTTTTTTCCAACAACCCAAAATTTTCTAAAAATAAATTTCGTCACTCTCGCAACCCAAGGAAATGCTCGAATATTAAACGTGTAGTACTTTTATGGTTGCAAACTTAACGACTAATACAAAAAACCATTTTACATAACAATTATTCCCCAAGAAATTACCTCAACGCAGGAAGGGACACTTTCCATAATTTGGTGGGGAGCGAACTTGGATCATCAATCAAGAAATACGGCAATGTTTTTGACCCTTTGAATTCCAGGTGAATTTACCAACAGCTCTTGCTAACATATATAATGCTTGCCATCAGCGAGTTTTTGCAATTGTGGTGTGGCTTTACTCAGCAAAATAAACAATAAACAATAAAATTCACTAGAAAATAAAATTAGTACAGTAACTCTCAGGTGTTTTGGTGAAAAAAACAAGCAACTAAAAAAAATTGCAAGCAACCCATAAGTTGAAAAATACTGCCCTAATATAATAGTCTTAACTTCTTCAGAAAAAAACAAAACATGACTTAAACACATAGAGAATAATGTTTTGAATATTTAATCCCCATTGTGGCAACAGCCACGTACAGATGTGGAGTAGAAGAAATGAACTGCAATGTACAACACTCTAGTACAGGAGTAAGCAATCACTTTTCTAAATGGTCCAGTTACTATACGACTTGGTTACTGGGTCGAAGGCTCAAAACATTGATATGAAAAGCTATGACTAAAAAAAAGTTTATTTACAAAAGATAGGCTAATGTTTATATAATAAGCACAGTGCAACAATAGGGGTCATTATGACAATTTTTTCATCAATTTTTTTTCTACAGAATATATCCATAAGAACTATAGGCGTAATTTCAACAGACACAAGTGGGTCGAATTCGGCCCGCGGTCTGTAATTTGACCACCTGTGCTCTAGTACTCTTCCTATTTATACAAATGAAAAAGACTTTATTATATTTATAATAAATTATTATGAATTCCAAATTTGTTTGCATACTAAAACATCATAAATATTATTGAACTGCGATTCTGTTTATTTATATTTTATACTGAGCCAGACTCTGTTATGGTGATCTGTAATGTACTAGATCACAATGTAGCACTGATATTATATATATTTTACACATGTTCTCAAAACTCTCAAAATATGCATTTAGTGTCGAATCATGGAACTAAAATATCTGCTGACTCATTTTCCGTCTTTTTCGTATTTATAATGTAACAATCAATTCGAACTTTTTAGTAACAGTTTTAAATTGGTCAGGAGCCTCGATGACCTTCAACAGTCCTGCATACTGGCCAACACAAAACAATGTGTAATTGGACTACTTCTACAGGAAATACAACTGAACTGGCAACCAATCCCATCCTAGTCATAACCAAGCCTGATATTAAGCTTATTCTGTGATGTATGAGGCCAACTCAATAGCGGTCCTACAAAAGTAAAGCTAGCTCCCTGACTCTAACTACTTTTATACCCCAGGGTTTCTGAAATTGGGCCCTACATGGTCACAAAGTAGTTCTTCAATTACTCAGATATAATACCATTGTTTTAGGATTACATGTCACCCCTTGATAATTTCACCTCACTATATATATATATGATAGTGTTCTTCCCATATTATGCCCTGATAAACTTTATCTTTAGAAATTCGGAAAATTACATCGTTTCACTAACATCGGCAATGTAAGCCACTAATAAATTTGACGCTATCATAGTAAATGGAAATAATAACTGTGATGCCGAATGTGTAAAAAAATCCTCAGCCACCCTTGGACCAACCGCTATGCTACGATTCACTTACTTGATAACTGAGACATGAGGACCCTCGCTGCATCAGGCGAACACTTCTCAAAGCATTGTAGGAAAGCTGAGCTTCTCTGCTCTGTGATGACAGTTTTCAAGATGATTTCAGCCTGTGTGAAAAACAAGAGAGCACTTCTCAAATATCTGGGCATGAAGATTAAATAAATACCCGCAAAACAACAACATTTTTGTCTCAAATACAGGAAAATAATTACGAAAAGCAGTGCTCAAATATAGAGCAATGTCCACAACCTGCCACTGTATTCCGTGTCAATCATTGTTAGTTCATTAATTATTAACGGGTAAGACGAATTGTGGTTGTGATCTCAGCGTTTCCCAATTCCATTCAGCTCCCTTTCCACTAGCCCTTCACATAACAGCATGTTACGTTCGCAATACCTGGTACCCGCCATATTATTTTAAAAGGTAACAGCATTTCGTGAACTAGCGCCCAAATATATGTAGCCTACATGAAAGTCCAATAATTATTCGCCAGATTGTGCCATGCCCTCGTTTCAAAGACAAAGAAGGATTTGCTTTATTGAACCAAAATATTGGAGCCACTTGAAATCGGAGAAGTGTGCCCTACTGAATATACAAGTACATGAGGATCTATGCTTGGGTCTGGTATAGTTTAGTACATCACCAATTTTTCGACATACCAAACCTGACCCCCATCTGACTAAGTCACCCAAAAATTAAGTCATAGACCTTGTCAAATATATGTACGATCGCCTGAAATGGGACGATGAAAAACTGACAATCGTCAGCGATCTCTCTAATACTTGAATCGTCATGACGAGAAAACGAGAGAAATAGCTGTTCGATTTCGGGTGCAGACGAACACGTCTTGGATGCCAGTTCGCATAGTTTGATGGGCTATATAACGTCACTGTGACGTCGCAGTGACGTAATTTTTGGATGGAGTAGTCAGGTGGGGGTTAGGATAGACACATGAAAAAATTGTTATGCTACGGCCACTAGAAGTATGTGTGGTACTAAACTATACCAGATCCCTATGCTTACTAACTCACTTTTCCTTTAGTAGAATTCTCAGCCTTGATCTGATGAAACTCTTCGGTTGTTAAAGTCCGAGATGTGAGCAATGAATGCGCGATATTTTCAACATTATTCGATCCTGAGAGTAAAAGATGACTCAGAACTTTGTGAAAGTTTTCTTCCAAATTTAATGCCATAATTGCAATGTCATGTTGCTGTTTGTTTATCCATGATGTCTAGCCATGCCAATATTTCTAATTTAGTATATTTCATTCTCGATCATTACACTCGACAGACTTACATTAAAGCTGTTAGATGTAATATAAGGATGGAAACTACTTTGCGAGGGAATGTCCAATTGGAGACAGTTAGGTATAATTAACTTGCAACTCTGCAACTGCAGATTTTGGGTCTGGTATAGTTTAGTACCACATGTACTTCAAGTTGGCCTGGCTCAACAATTTTTGCATATGTTAATCCTAACCCCCACCTGACTACGTCACCGGAAAATTACAGAATTACATCATTCCGACGTCCCAGTGGCGTAATAAGGCCCACCAAAGTATGCGGATGGTCGTCCAAAACGCGCAGACGATAACCCGAAATCGAGCAAGCTATTTCTCTCGTTTTCTCGTCGCAACGATCACGATAAGAGAGAGATCGCCGGCTTTAGCAAGTTCTTATCGGTGGCGCAGATGCCATTTCGGGCGATCGTAATTATACTTTGGCAATCCCTATGATGTGATGGTGACGTAATTTTTTGAAGGCATAGTCAGGTGAGAGTTAGGATAGACACATGAAAAAATCGTTATGCTACGCCCACTGGAAGTACTTGTGGTACTAAACTATACTAGACATCTACATATCATATAGACTACATACCGGTACGGTAGTCCATGCATCTGAAAACAAATAACTGCTGAACTGGCTAACTAATCCCATATCCAACATGGACTGATAACCAGACAAGAGGTCGTGGTTCGCCATACTGCCATAAGATTAAGCCCTCTTTTACCCCTTTGCTCTCCCCCGGGATATCGGTACGGTATATAATCATATTCTTTACCTTATCTCAGAGCTGGGTCACTAAAATTTCTCCTACATCCCACAGCCCCACTGTACCGGTACCTTACCTTGACCGTGATAATCCTATCTTACAGTCTTATCTATCCTAACTTAATTGAGCCGTCTTAACGGTTTTCCTCTCCCCCGGGATAAATATGTGAATCCTATCTACTATCAGAGACGATCCAGTTTTCCTGCCTGGAAATGCTCAGTCTCGATGAAGGCGAAAACTATTTGCGCGAATGAATTACAAGAAGCACATTTCGCGAAAACAGCTTTTCGATCAAATAAATTTTCGCAGTCCGGATGGAAGGAAATTTTCGTATTGATTTCCTAATTAGGCGGCTAAATCACCCGGGTAGCCATGACATGGCCACTTTTAACTGTAGAGGTTTACGGGATACAGTAAAAAGAAGGAACATATTTCAATTGTTTAGTCTGCGAAAACTTGGAATCATCTTCCTGCAAGAAACTCACTGGACAGATGATATAAGAAGCGAAATAAACACATTCAAAGGGTATGAAATAATTGCAGCGAATTATACGTCACACAGGGCGGAAGTTGCCATTTTAATATCGGAAAAACTGTCATACAAGAAAATTTATCTAAATTGTGATCCAAACGGCAGGTATATACTTCTTCAAATGGAAATGGAAGGAAAAAACATAATGCTTGTAAACCTTTATGGTCCAAACAAAGATGACACACAATTTTTTCTCACTCTGTTGCAAAAAATTGAAGAAAGGGAAATATTTGAAATTATAATTGGAGGAGATTTTAATACTGTAATGAATAATGATTTAGAAAAAAGAGGGGGACAAGCAATACATAAAAATAAAAATGCTCAGAATCTAATTAACTGCATAGCAGAAGAAATGGGATTGGTCGATATTTTTCGAGAACTAAACCCTGGAGTAAAAGAATATACCAGAGAACAATATAATCCAACAGTCGCCTCTAGACTAGATTTTTTCCTCATATCTGCTTCACTTCTCGTATATACAACGAATAGTGAACACGAGACAAGTATTCAATCAGATCATCGAATGGCGAGTTTTGACATAGATTGGAAAAAGGAGAATCGTGGTCCAGGATACTGGAAATTTAACAACTCATTATTAATAGATGAAAAATATAAAGAACTGATACATCAACTAATAGAGCAAACAATGAGAGATCATTCTCATGCGTATGTTAAACCAACAACAATGTGGGATACAATGAAATGTATAATTAGGGGATACACCATTCAATATGCTTCAAGGAAGAAAAGGGAAAATCATAGAATCCGTGACAATCTTGAAAGGGACATTAAGGATCTGGGAGACAAACCAACAAAATCCAGTGAAGAAATAAGCAGATTAAATAAAAGTAAAGAGAAATTTGAAATCCTTATTGCGCAAGATGCCCAGGGAGCAATGGTTCGAAGCAGAATCAAACACGCCGAATATGGAGGCAAATGCAATGCATACTTTCTAAAAAGAGAAAAATATAATGTGAACAAAAATAATATCAATCTTTTACACTATAAGGAGAAACAAATCAAAGATCCACAAAAAATAGCAAACATAGCCGCTGATTTTTATGAAAACCTATTAACTCCCAAGACAAATTCGAAGACAGAAGATATCAAAACATATTTAAACACTGTACAGGCGACAAAACTTACTGAAGAAGAACAACAACAAAGTGAAGGTTTATTAACTTTGAGAGAATGCGAGAATGCACTGAAAGAAATGAGATCAAATACCAGCCCGGGGGAAGACGGATTCACAGTTGAATTTTACAGAGAATTCTGGGAACATCTCAAACAACTATTGCTTAATTCCTACAACTACTCAGTGGCAAATGAGACAATGAGTAATTCACAATCTAGGGGAATAATAAAGCTGCTACCTAAGCAAGGAAAAAATCTCAACTTCATTGAAAACTACAGACCTATCACCTTATTAAACATTGACTATAAAATTGCATCCAAAAGTATAGCTAATAGACTGAAAAATGTGATACAAAAATTGATTCACAATGATCAAAAAGGATTTACTAAGGGAAGATATATTGGCGAAAATGTAAGATTATTTTTTAATGTTAGAGACTTTTTGAAATATAAAAGGCTTCCAGGAATAGCACTCAACTTGGATATAGAAAAAGCTTATGATTCTGTTTCATGGAATTATCTTTTTCAAGTGTTGGAATTTTTTAATTTTGGTCAAATGTTTATTAAGTGGGTCAAAACTTTATATTTTCAAAGTCAAAGCACTGTTGTTAATAATAATTATAGTTCAAGAATGTTTCAAGTTAAGAAAGGTTTGAGGCAAGGTTGTAGTCTCTCACCATATATGTTCTTATTAATAATTGAAATATTTGCATGTAGAATGCGACAAAACCAGAATATACAAGGTATATGTCTCGGAAATACAGAAATTAAAATTTCCTTGTTTGCAGATGACGCAACAGTATATTGTGATGGGTCACAAAAAAGTATTAAAACAGTATTTTCTGAAACCGATAATTTCTTTACCATGTCTGGGTGCAAGATAAATACGAATAAATGCCAAGCATTATACCTGGGTGCAAATAATAATTGGCAAAATTTTCCTATGCAAGACCGAGGACTTCAGTGGAACCCTAGCTGTTTTAAAATTTTGGGCATTAATGTGTGTGGAAATGATACGGATCTTTTTACTGTGAACCTTTTGCCAAAACTTCAAAAACTGAAAATGGTTGCACAAATATGGTCCAAAAGAAATCTAGATTTCCTCGGAAAAATCACTGTGATTAAATCTTTGATGTTGAGCTTATTGGTTTATGTAGTTTCCATCTTACCAGTAATACTGCCCAATAGTTTTATAATGGAAGTAAATAAGATATGCCATGAATTTTTATGGGGTTCAAAATGGGAGAGAATAAAACGTAAGACATTAATTGCACCTGTGAAGGAAGGGGGGGTCAATATGCTTGATGTGGAATCATTTCTCATTGGTCAAAAATTAAGATGGGTTAAATGTTTAATAAATGACGAAATTGATGTCTCATGGAAATCCATAGAAATGTTTTTCTTGAATTTGTATGGAGGAAAGGCTTTATTTTATGGAAATGTATATCCGCATGGAGTGTATATCAAAAATATGTATTCCAGATGTTTGAGAGATACTCTGTACTATTGGTTTATTTTCAAATCCAAGATTATTAGGGATGTAAGTCATTTACATGAACCTTTGTGGTTTAATAAAAATATAACTTGCAAAGGAAAACTTTTATATATGGATGATTGGAATAGTAAAAATATTTGTTTCGTTGAAGATATTTGTGATTCTAATCAGCAACTTGCAATGTTTCCGTATGTTTTTCATCATTATTGTTTTTCTAGTTTTTATGATGACATGCTAGCGTATTTAAAAATTATATCATGTATACCCCAGCAATGGAAAACTAATTTATCAAAAACCTCACCAGTCAATCCACATCTTAGTCTTATCGAAGATATTAAAAGCATTGATAAAACGTCTCGATATATTTATGATAAGCTTTGTAATGAAAAAATTTTGCCGCCAACTGAAAAAATAGAAAAATGGTCAAAAGAATTGTGCAGGAACTTAGATAATTGGTTTACATTGTATGAAAAAGTTTTTTATTGCTCTATTGAATCCAGACTTCGTTCATTCCATGTCAAATTTGCCTTGCGAGCAGTGCCCACTAATGACCTGCTATATAGAATAAATAAAACACAAAGTCCAAAATGTACATTTTGTAATATGCATGTTGAAACCGTGTTACATTTATTTTATCTCTGTGAATTTGTGCAGCAATTTTGGGAAATAGTTAACGCTTGGCTAACCGTTGAGTATGGATTAAACTTCAATTTGACACATAGAGAAATGTTATTGGGGGTAGGGCAAAATCAGGGTATAAACTGTGTTTTATTATGTGCCAGATATTTTATATACAAATGTAAACTGCGTAATGAAAGGCCTCAATTTTGCCAATTTTTATATATGATAAAAAATATTATAAACTGTGAAAAGATTATTGCAACTAAAAATGGTAAACTGTCAATCCATAATAAGAAGTGGAAAACTATTGTGTGCTCGTTTTTTTAAAATGCAATTGTATTTGTGCTATTGTGTCTATATAAATGTGTTGTGATAATGTGATGTTTTTATTAATAAAAAAAAAAATAAATAAAAAAAAAAAAAAAAAAAAAAAAAAAAAAAAGTAATTCGTTTCGAATACGCGGATAAATCGGGATATAATTTCTAAAAAGGTTTCTTTGGCAAACCGGACTTTTCTGGCGGTTTTGCATATTTTATATAGCCATTTTAATTTTGGTTATATGTATTATTCTTTATTGTATTGCATTGCATTGACTTAAAATAAATGTTGCCACAAACTACTAGCTTTAAAGTTTGAATGATGAATGAGTCGATACTGGCTCAGCGAAACCCAGTAAAAATGGGGAAAAATTGAAGTAAAAGCTATTTCGTGTTTTCCCATACTGAGAATTTTAGATTTTGTTCAGTTTCAAAAAAGAAAGTGTTTTAAGCAACAAAAATAATCTAACAAAACGATCCGCGATTGGGTACGATAGGCATTTCGTACCCAAAAAAAACAATTCGAGTGCCACTCTCAACTCCACCACCGCTAGTTGGCGCTGTTGCATCATATTTCATTCATACGATATACTTTTCTTATTTTCTGTTGACCTCTACCGAAAAAGAAAAATTTGAAATTTCTTTGTATTCTCAAAAATGAAGAAACTTTATTCATTTATATATGTACAAATATGTGAAATAGTGACGCATTTTGATTCTGTAACTATGGCAATGATAAAAAAAAAATAACGTCACACAATAACAATTTGGAAAATAAATTAATTTTTTTTTATATAATATCATGGAAACAATATCGTAAAAAGGAATAAAGAAAATGATGTTAAATCTCCCTGAAACATTTATAATGAAAATTTGTGAAAATAATAAAATTTACTACACTTTCCAAATGAATTGATTCATACCAATAGTTGATAATGAAATATACGTAAAACCTCAATGCAAGTTTACGTTTAAATACTTTAATCCAATTACGAATAACACATAAAAACCCTTTTTCACAACTCTGGTCTGAAAACGGGGAATACGTGAAATGTTTAAATGGGGAAGAAATATCCATCGTGTCGAGTAAGTCAGAGAAGACCCGTTTACAATGAATAAATATGTCAGTTTTGCCTTGTAGCGTCATGCTCGGGTGAGCGCAATCACAATACAGTAATGAAATTGTTGATTAGCATGACATTGCGAAGCCGTGGTAACTGAAGGGGAATTCCCAGCAACACGTTGTTGCACGAATGTGTTAATGTCGACGCTTTTGACACAAAGAAATCCTGTCATAAATAACGAGTAAGAACGTCCCTTGGCAAGGCACATAAAGCCGCTGAGAAGAGCATTTTAAATATTGACCTATTTGCGAAGGCTCATAGATGCCCCCTGTCTGGGCTTGAATATCTACAGCATGTTCTTATTTTATGGAACAGTTTACTGAGAGATGTTTTTAACACGGGAAGGTGCTGAACCATGATTATCGGACAGACAGTCGTGTACACATACATTGACAGCCTGGATAAAGCGAACGCAGCTGTCGGGTTAAAATTATCTAAAGTTGTGTCCAATGAGATCGCAACTATGAAGCACAACGAACACGCGATGTAGATCGTTGTCAAATACAAAGCAAATCGAAGCCGTGAATTCAGTCTGTGCTTCAGCGAACGACGCGTTCGTCTGCGTCTCAAATTACTTTTACGGGTTGGTTCATGGATTTGTGTTGTCATGATATCTTTCCGATTGTCAGATTGTGAATTCACATTTTCGCCGTTATTGTTTCGTTGTGACATCATTTCGTTATCTGTTTGTGATGTCACATCGCTGATTCGTCGCGTTGTCGTCATATTCATTGTTCGCTGATATTTTACAACGCCATGCACAACCAGGACACAAAGGCACACAATCTGAAAATAAAAATTATAAAACATTTCAATTCCGAATCCAATAAGTCAGTGTTTCCCAAACTTTTCGGGCCGCGGACATCTGTTTTAGAATCTTATATTTAACGAACCCCCATTCTATGCCTTGTCCATTCCTATACCTAACCAATGAGTAAGGATAATGTTTACTTTATATCACAACAATACAAACGACATTAATGTGAAGAATGAGGTTACTTTTCACTGCACAATTTATCGATTCTTGGAGCAATTTGTGACAAGCAAACTCGTAACACGCAAGTCCGACTCTACGGCAAGTCTCGACCTGTATTTTGTCATCAAATTGGTGAGAGATGAACATACTGCCTCACAAATGTCGATTTTTCTAATTGCCTTTTCTAGCAGCAATAGAGATTTGTTCACAACGTCCCAACAAAAAATTGAAATGGCTTTAAATTAAATAAATCATTTAAGATCGATCAGACTCTTTTCTTATCGCCGTGGACCCCTGTGCAGTCATCACGGACTCCCAGGGGTCCGCAGACTCCAGTTAAACTCTGCTTAAATAACTCTCTAATCATCAATACATATTTACCGAGATGAACCAAAGTCCGACGTTTGTCCACAGAAATGTCTTCGTAACCGGAGCCCAGAACACAGAGCAGTGTGGCTGGTTGGGGCACAGATCTCCCTCGAAGTTAGTTGATGGGCAAATGCATTGCTCAACGCAATTCATCTTCAGCATTCCAACAACTGTCAGTATTAATGGTACAAACCAGGAAGTAACGATGAGAACCCACGTCACTTTTTTGATTTTTTCAAATCGTCTGGAATAAAATAAAATAATTAAACAAAATCACAAAGTAGAGAATTACGAGATTTTCAAATATACAAAATATGAAAAATATATATATGTGTGCCAATATGAAGGTAGCTAATTTTGTTTGCCTACTTTACATCAAATTGTGTAAAGGGACTGAAACCAATGGCAGGGAGTATATTCACCTGGCTGGGACAGACGGTCCCCGAGATCGTAATGAAACTAAAATAAGAAAAATCGGAATAAAATTATGGCCTCACCCTAACCTGGTACACACACTACGGGGGTAACCCGTATTTTATGGGCAATAAAACGCACTGGGCTATAATGCGGAAACGCATGCCGAAAGTACACATTGTACAAACAGGATTAGGAAAGATAAAAAAAAGCATTCCAGTGTAAAAGGAGACGCGATAAACTAGTGATGGTTATCGAGCAGCGTCGCTCATGAGAGAATTATTCTAACATTGAAGCCTACTAGGAAAAAGGGTCGAACATAGAATACTAACATAGGCCGGACTTTATGATACGTTAAGCGACCCGATATCGCGGTGTCACTCTTGTCAATGGAAGAAAACATCAGGTCACCATGGCAACCGCAGATCACTGAGCAACAAACAGAAGGGTAGTTATTCCCATGGCTGCGGTACAGACCATGTAGTTATCACGTGACAATATTATTGATGTTTGTTACGTCATACCGACATTATAGTGTAAATATATTCAGTAGCCAAAAATTTCAATAAGTGCATACGACAGTGGCTCCCAACCCTTTTTCTGATAATTTTTTCCCTTCGACTGTTTCTGGAATTCTTTATTTCTTATTTATTTAATTGTTAACGAATCTTCAGCTAGTGTTATGCGCAAGTCTCATTCCCGCTTTTGTACAGTTCAAGTAGTTTATTATTGGTACTCCCGTAGTATGTGTACCAGGTTGGGGGTAAACCATAATTTTATCCCGATTTCCCTTTTTTAGTACTATTTCTAGTTCGGAGACTGTCTGTGCTAGCCAATAATAACATACCTACTGCCCATAGGTTTCAGTCCCTTTACACAACTTCATGGTACACATACTTCTGGAGCGCCGTTTCTTATGTGTTCATGAATACGTATTATGGTGATACGTATATAATTCCTTCCGGTTGGGAAACGTAATCTTAAGATATTACGCAAGTATGCAACCGACTTCGCAACGAGGAAATGCATTTCGAAACCATTGCAATTTTTTATTCGGGAACTGAACCAGCAACCATTTATTTAAATCAGCGACGTGCTGCTGCGCATCGCAATGGGCCAAAACATAGAATCATGGTGGCCCTTAGGGCAAAACAATCGAACAAACCATTTGTTAAATCACAGTCTGGTACCAATAAGGTAAAATCACGTCTAAACGAAATTAGATCCTAGCGTGACGTAACACGACGTCAAAAATTCCGATAGTGACGTAACAAATAAGAGGGGCATTTGAAACAAGATATCGATGCTAAAATATATGGATACGAAATCCAAAATGATCTCACGAAGTCATGGAACCATGTTCTCATAATTAGAAAATAAAATAGCGCATTTTATATAAAATATCAAATCGAACAGAAAATTTCGGAACAAATAGAAAGTAATACCCTCCTAGCGACAAACAGACTTCGCAATGAGGAAATGTAACTCAACCCCTTCCTATCCGGGATCTAAGCCAGCAACCAATGCTTTATGTTGTAGCGAATGCGGAATGTAACTATGGAGTCCAATGTTATTTGACCACGTTGTATTAACAGTATGTGAATAAGTCGATGCTCATTTTTGATTATGATTTATCGCGATAAGTCTTAGCAACCTCGTTTTATCGAGCAATTTGTCACGTGTTTCCGGCTTTCGTTTGGGAGAATATAAGATATTTCCTGTTTTGTGTGGAATACTATTTCATATTGTAAACGTATGACTGGTATTAAGGTTTAGGTGTATTTTTTAATAAATCAGTTTGGATTCGATTGTGCAACTTTACAATATACGAATATTGGAATCACAATACATTGTATGCTTATTGGTGTCTGAAGGAGTGCAAATCGGAATTTCACACTGTACACGTTAAATAACACAGGAGTGTATACGCGCAGATGAGGACATTTACCCCCTATAATATCAGCGGCGTACCACTGCTCATCGCAATGAGAGAAAACATAGAATCATGCTGGCCCTCATGGCAAAACAATTGAACAAATCCATTTTTAAACCACAAGTGTTCAGGCGAAATTTCATCCCAGCGTGACGTAACGCAACGTCAAAAACGCGGGTACCTATCTGACGGGTACCTATCTGACTTATTAGACTACAGGTACCAATCGCCATGATGTCATGAAAACGTATAATCATAATTTAATATGAAACAGCGCATTTTAGATGAAAAATGGCAAAATAAACATAAAATTTCGGAATAAATTTAAAGTAATACCCTTCTAACGAAAAAAACAACCTTGAACCACTATAAATTTTTAAACAGTATTGGTAGCATTGGTCCAGTAGTTAAAGATGAAAACGATTTTTTCAAAAAGAAGAAGAATATCAACAACAAGAAATAGAACACAACAACAACATAATATCAACACGATTCATATGTCCGCTTCGTGTCTAATAATAGGGTGCTAAGACTGATACGGGCCATCTAAATAGGTTCCAGGCGACATATGTTGCACGTCTATGCTTTGCACAGCGTCTGGCAACACAATAACAGTATACATGTGCAAGAAATTAAAGCGATTTCCCGGAACCATTGCTTTATATAGAGGTTGTGTTATATGTGTGTTACAGTGATACATGCACATACAAGGTAACACGAAAAAAACGAGCCCCAAAACTACTTAAGTGCTTCTAAGAAAATGAAGAAAATTATTATAACATTTGAACTGCTGTTCGTGCATGATTGCACCCAAGAGTTCAGAAATTAACTGAAAATCCCCTCACCTCTCTGCTTTCTGAGTGTTATCCGTGTTCGCTACTCTTCCGACATAGGTGGCGCTGTTCACTGTGACGTAGGTTAAGCAGACGATGTTCCCGCAAATAAGAAAAGGCTTCGACACGGTCGCTGACTCGTGAAACGCCCAAACATACTGTAAAAAGATTGGTAAAAGTACTTAGATCGAAAAAAGCGAGCCTTACTCAGCGTATCACACATTGCCAAGTCCCAAGTCAAAGATAGAAACACAGGAGGAAGAGGTACGAAGAATATTCAAATACAATTTTATTTACGTTGGGAAATAAAGTATGGTGTCACACATAAAAATGAGGGGATGGGTTGCCAAGATTGTAAGAAGATTGGTAAACGTATTATTAACGAAAATAGTGAGGCTTCATTACTGAATATATCTCGTGTTGCATGTCAATCATAAAGAAGAATGCGGGCCATAGCTTCACAATGTCCAAACCGACAATGACAGCAATGGGTTCAAGCCTCTAAACCAGTGGTTAGTTTCAGGAGGATCGTATGGTTTCGCGCAAATTCATTCTTGAAAAGTCACAACATCAGTGATCCTCCGCGGACCTGTTCTTGGAGAATGCAACAACTTGGAGAGTCGCGACATCAGCAAACCCGTTCAGCATCGATACATTAGCGAGCCTGTTTCTAAAAATTGCACCATCAGTGAACCAGTTTCTATGGAAATTGCAACACCGGGGTGCCTGCTGTTTTATATCATAACCTCCGCGAACCTGTTCTTGGAAACGCGTAACATCATCGATCCCCTTCATAGAAAAGCGCAACATCATCGAACCCGTTATTAACAAACGCAACAACAGCGAACCCGTTCTTAAAAACGCAATAACAGCGAACTTGTTCCCCAAAACGCAATACCAACCGGTTGTTACAAAATCGCAACATCAGTAATAAAGTTCTTATCTGGTCATCAGCGAACCCGTTCCTAGAAAACCGGTTCTTACCTTCTCAACGTTCATCACGCCTAGAACACTTCTTGACTTTGTTTCCACGTAATTATCCAATAAAGTCCATTCGAGAAAGATCATGTACAATATATTGCTCAGTAATGTGCTGCTAACGCTGGCGAACAAATAGTTTTGCCTCTGCAGCTTCACTCTGTCAAGGAAAGCCGCGATGAAGAGTAGAACGTTGAAAATGAAACTTGGGAGAATCAGAATCTGAAAATGAAAAATAATAGGATTATCGTATCGTTCCCTCTTGTCTTTATATCTTTGACAAAGAGGGTCGTTGGAGTTTGTTGAAGGGGATGGAGAGAGAGGAGGCGTGGAAAGGTCGGTAAGAATGAATGGTATTAGCGCGACCCCGAAAGACACCAATCAAATATGATGGGACAAAACGCTTTTCTCCACAACACATGGACCAATGGGTTTCATATTTGCAGTACATTGAGAGTACTTTTCCCTAAAATATTGTTGTTTCATTTTATTAACGGTACAACGGCCTAGCGCTTAGAGCAATGGTTCCCAAACTGATGGTAACTACCCCCAGTGGAATATTTTGGCAGTTTTTTAAGGGTTAATATAGCCGTTCAGTGTTTTAACAATTCCTTTTTTATTCCTCCCTACTTTTGACCAGCACGAGGAAAAGCTGGACATTCAATGCTTTCCACTAGTCAATGAGTCTAGCCATTTAATCACGCGGTTGGTAGAGACATAATAATCATACTTCGCCTTACACATTGTGGACTTATTGCTGAGCTAGCGCATTATCATGTCAAAGTCGGATCGGAGGATGCAGAAGGCGGTATTTTTTATCAGGGATAAATTGACAACGATATTTTCGATCAACAATAAATCGATATCGATATTACTACTGTATTTTGACAAAAGGGATAATTTAGCTTTTGGTGATTCGATTTAGGGGTAAAGATATTGGACAATTTAGGAAGCACTAGTTTTGATTCGAGGCCTACAAATAAATAATTGCCGTGTAAGAACTACCTGAAAAGCCAAAGTCCACAGATTCCGCACAGGTTGGCATGGAAACTCATCGTATGCTGAGACATTGTGGTCAAGCATAGAAGAAGTAAACCCTTGGGTTGTGAAAGGAGTCGTTGATATTTCCAGGTATGTGGTTGTTTCCGGATTGACTCCAATAAATCCGGTCATGGCTTGTGTAGTTGATACATCCCTTTCGGTTTTGACAATAAAAGACGGTGAGATTGTTGCATTCATTTATATTTTATAATTTCTGATGAAAATTAGATTGGAATAAATATCATAGATCTATTCTAAACCAAAAGATTAAATAAATTTTTTTAGGGAAATTTACTCAGAGCTAAATCATGCATACTCACTCAGAAGTGAAGGAGATTAACCCCTGAGTAAAATGGATCTTTAGCTATAGTGATAAGCACAACACACGCATTTGCTTTTTGCGCAATTTGAATAATTTATTATGTAAAAAATACATATTGGAACAATACTAAATAAGTGAACAGTCTGATTGAGACAATCTACCACACGTAGTTAGTCTTTCGCAGTCTGATGGTAAAGTCATAACGTTGTCTCAAAACTCACATTCACTACAACAACATTCGCTTACTGATCTACCATCGCAAAGGAATGGAGAAGGATGCGAAGTTGGGGTGTTTGTGAGCGGCAAGATTTTTAAATAACTCATAATAGCTATTTACCTTTGCTACATAGAAAACTTCGTAATACAACCGTCTCGCTAACCCTCTTCCTATTAATTATTCGATAACAATTCCACTTGAATCGCCCGCTGTATGACCGGACAATAGCGACTAATTAAAAAGTGAGTATCTTCAAATCATATTTGGGCCGGAGATAAGATGTGATTTTATTTACGAATCAAACTTGATCGAACATATATCGGTGCCAAGAGTCGCCATATGGTTTCAATAACACATTATGACGCAACACAACGTGTCATCCGCTGACACAAAGGGTGATTAACGGATGCGGTTGCAAATATTTATTCAGCGAGTCGTCCCCAACTAGGGCTGGCTGACTTCATTAAAGCCATATTTATAAAATGCAATTTTGGAATATGACTTTCGTCTTTCTGGTGAATAATTGCTGTAAGATGTTTCTTATTGTGTGTCACATCACAATTAAAATCACACACAATTGAATATCCACTGAGTATTCAAGATTCGGTTCGAAAATAATAGTCCCCGTCCCTTAATGGATCGATTCCCCCAACTTTTTTTGATCACACTGTAAGTGCTTGGATAACGCCAAACAGAAATGTGATGTAAAAATAATTACTGAATTTTTTATTTATTTTTTGAATGAAAGGCAGTTTCGCGGGAAACGCTCTACCAGACATAGGCAAAGTACGGCCTGCGGGCCAAACCCGGCCCGTTTTGTAATCCAATCCGGCCCGCCCGATGCTGCCACAGACAAACCGAAATCGAATTTTACTGTTTTAGTCAAAAATAGCTCAAGAAATTTTGTGAGATTGCGGTTAAATTTAGTTTTTTTTTTTATAAGAGGCTCATTGTTTTCCATCTTTGCTTTGTAACACTGTAAATATTGTTCAAAAAATGTAACTTTCACGTCAAACTTACATGGCCCACCAGTCTAGGTGGGAAAAAGGTTTGGCTCCTGGTTTAAAAACCCTTTCCGCTTCTGCGCTATACCCCATTTGGCATGAGGCATACCTGCTAATTGATTTAGTATGTAGAAAGGAATTCTGCTAATGCTTTGTATTTACTAAAGTATTACTAATATTCTACAGTTCCTTATTATTGCTCTAATACTTATTTATTCACAAATGATAAACTACCTGAACTGTGATCCTACATCCAAATACAAACTCCGGTTTAAAAAACGATTTTTGGGCTGTATAATTGATGATAATTGTACTAACTTATATCTTATATTTATGTAAAGTGTGAACATTATTTACTCTGCACGAAATGCATTTATTGCGAAGTGCTTATAATATATACCAATAAAAAAAATAAAATAAAAACTACGAAATCTGCAAATGCTATGCTACATGTAAACGTAAGCGAATTGACGTTTTCGTGATTCCCACATATTACCTGACGTTAAACAATCGATAATTACGTCACATCCGGTATGATTCTAGTAATATTGCTAACGCGTGTATTATGTCGACACAAATACTATTTGTGGGCGACAACAACAAAGACATATATGCAAATAGCTGTGACATATGTTGACTAATATAGGGTAAAATAAAACGAAACGAATAACACAGTTCAAGCAAAGTTGCAAGCAAAGACCTTCACAAGACACCGTTGACGATGACTATATTAATTAAAAGTAAATCGTCTTTGATTAGTAGGAAGGCGAAATGTCATTTGTTGATAAATAAATGTATGTCTAATTTATACATTTAACATGTGCAAAAACCGAGAAAAATAGCCAAAACTCTTTCAAAAATGTGCAAAGACAATGAAAAGTCACCAAACCCTTACAAAGACGTGCAAAAACAGTAAAAAATCTTGCAAAAACCTTATAAAAACGTGCAAAAACAGTGTAAAATCTTGCAAAAACAGGAAAAAGTCGTAAAAAATCGCCAAAAACCATTCTATAATTTCAAAAAAAATATTCGATTCGATTCTGACATCAGATATAGCCTAAGCCTTTATTAGCACGTCTGTCTGTCTGTTTGTGTAATTCATTTACTGATTACTTATATTATTTATAGAAACAAATACAGTTGTTAAAATATAACACAAGAACCATTACGTGATAACTATTACATACAAATAAGTTTGGAAATCCCTGGACATCGAAAATACATTAAATTATAATGATTGATCAATATTTAAATGCTGTAAACAAAATACGAAAATTCTATTTCTTTTTTATCTATTATATCACTTTTTATCTTTATAAGTTAATTTTGCAATAGAAATATAATGATTGTTATCGAGATGAACACTCAAATATAAAGCAATAACAGCACCTAGGAATGCCCATGCCTGGAAAATTCTCCGCATAGGAAAATTCGCGGCACTCCTGTAGTATGTGAACCAAGATGGCGGACCCCTGAATGCAGTATGTGTACCAGGTTAGGGTTGGGCCATGATTTAAGATACAAATACTACATGATTCACTTGGCTAGTCCCCGAACTCGTAATAGAACTAAAATAAAGAAAATTGGAATAAAATTATGTCCGAACCCTAACTTTGTACACATACTACGTACCGGTGTCCGACATCTTGTTTCACATATTTCTGAAAGCGACAAACTCGCTGCATGAAAAATCACCACAAAAGCATTTTACTATAAAACAGTTAAGTGGACGCTTCATTTACGAGGACTCGCCATGATTGATACCTGGCCCAGCTTTTACGTCTTGACGCATCAGGTTATGAACCCACTGCGTTCACCCTGCAAACTAAGCGACGATAATTACAAATGACCAACTTTTGAGTTAAACTCTCATACATTTGTGTTAATATACAGCAAGACTCTTCAATCGTACAGGCCAGCGATCGACCCACATGCGGCTTTTTATTCTCTGAGTTCTGGCTCCCGCGAATTAAAGTGTCTACGACAGGGTCGTCCAAACCCAGGCCCGCGGGCCATATGTGGCCCGCTGCTTCATTATCTGTGGCCCGCGTCGCATTCGGCGAAGAATCGAAAAATCGCATTTTGTGTTGTTTCATCATAAATTAACCCAAAAATTATTTGACATATTGTTGCATCACTAATGTCACTGAAATGACTAGTGTTATGGCTTGCTGAGGCAACTATCGAAGTTAAACGAGCGAAGTTCTTGACACTATTGTGGCCCGCGAATAATGCAAAAGTAATTTTGTGGCCCGCGGAACTGCTAATCTTGGACCACCCTGGTCAACGACGTTACAGCAGTTTTTTGTTAGAAGCAGTGGGGATTAAATAAAAGTCTGGGGGCATTGAGTTGATTACTACTTACTAATTACACATTACTTATTGCATCATAAGTGATTTTTCGACAGTTTTAATTGCCACTGGCATTAGAGTAGATGTTGCAACTACCGAGTAGGTTTTAGTATGAAGGGAAGAAGCACAATAGCTTTTTCAATGTCAAAGGTTTACCCGTGATGGGCTGATTTAAATGCAAGTCGAAGCCTGAGCTCTTGTGAAGTCACTGTCCAAGCCTTTCTCCAAGTTTTAAGACCTAAAGAGATTGAAGCGACTTCGGCGCAAAGAAATGTAAACAATAAAGAAATGTAAATATCCAAAATAAGACGGCCAAAACTGAATCTAACAAATATTTATACTTTTAATTAGCTTTAAGCCTTCAAAAAGTATTCAAGTTACTTGGTCTAGATTGCGAAACATACGCTCATGCACTACTCTTAGGCAGGTTCTAATCGCTATCTTTCCACATCTGACATTTCACCATATGAAAATATTCCAGTAATCAACAAAGCTATTAAAAAAAGCAGAAAATTTATTTATTTACATGTCAAGACATCATGCCATGCGGAATAGGGCGTCCATAATTGACTATACAAAATAAAATGAACAAAGAACCAATAAACTTCATAATTAATTTTACGGAAGAAAGAAAATTTATTTAGCACTCGAACTTCTGTTGTGTATGATTGTACCTTAAAGTTTCAGATTACCAGGGGTTTATACAAAAGATATGATACTTTTCAAATAACCTCTTGGCCTTGCATACAGACTTGCAAATTGAATAATGTACATTTCAGAAAAGTAAAAAAAAAATTATGATCTTGGTGGGAAGTATTTCAACTACGAAAATTTAAAATTCGTACTCCTGTTTCCGTATAATTGTACCCAAAAATTTTAGTAATTCAGGACATTTTGCACAAAAGTTATGTTTTCTTTAGAATATGTTCCGAATGATCTGGATTATTTTATTTGGTCACTTCATACACCCAAATCATCAACTCCTTAATTACTATGTAATTCCCGTTGATTTGTCTATTATTTTTAGAAGTACATTTACACTCGAATACGTGACACCTTTATTTCCAAATATTTGCAAAAACTAATATTGCGTAACATATCGATCGCATGTTTTCGAAATATTAACCATCGTGACCGAATAAGTGATTATTGCATCACAAATAAAAGCATTCAAATCACATGAGGTTTGGACAATTTTTAAACGAACAAATCGATGACTGTTGAAGCGTTAGCCAGAGGTGAGCAAGATTTATGGACTTAGGGCAAGAACTTTTGCCCATCTAGACTGGCGGGCCATGTAAGTGTGACGTCGAAGTTTTATTTTATGAACAATATTCACAGTGTTACAAA